CATGCAGACTAGGGCCGGCGGTTCTGCACAACAGATGCATACACTGCGATAATTGGTGTATAACCTAACCTTTCTTACCTCCAATATGGCAAACACATAGGATGCTTAGTAAAAAGACAGATAAGTTCAGTGCATACCAGATGACCTTGACCTGGTTGTGTCAGCTTAAACAAAAGCAATCATTGCCAAAGTCTCATGATTTTAGAAAGGAAATGTTCAAATCCTCAGCGTGTGAATCCAATAGACCACCCGTTTTGCATCCACCAGACTTTGCAGCATACTTGAAATTGCTATTGTCGTAATAGCACATTGCACCACACACATTGCACATTGTCTCACCGGTGAATCTAGTACTCCTGTTCTGCATCCACCAAATTTTTCACATAGCGCAATTGCAGCAAGCAAAGGTTTCTTTGGTGTGTACCACAGTGACAGTTGACACAAATGCCATTCGAGCGAAATGCAAAACACGTGCATGTGTCTAGCCTCACTTTTGGGTTACTGGTTACTTCAACTAGCAAGACTCTATAGTTGGGAGACATCAACAGCTACAAGAAACAAATGAAAAGCACTAAAGTGCAAACCCTCGGTGCTAAACACGCTAATTGTAGCATCACTGTATGCTGTGTCATCATGCATCATCGACGGAGCCAGTAACACGAGTCTCACCGTAACGCAGGGTAGTTGCATTAGCGGTTAGAGCAATTGCTCAGGTGTTTCAGGGGCTTTCATATTTGCTTTATTCAATCTATCCGTTCTTCTCTGCTTCAATGCTCTCGCCAGACGTTTTATAGATGGGAAGATAAGGCCGCAACCACAAACTGCTCGCCACCTGAACTATTATGCTACATTGCAAACATACCTTGCTCAGCATGTATATCCATTGAAAACAAAGAGAACAGAGATCAAAATTGACAGAAGGCCGTGGATCGTACAACCAACGTGGCATAGCACATGCTCTGGCGACATGACGCGTGCACGCTATATAGCCTGCCGGAGAGGGCGCGTGCGCGATCGACCGCAGGTTGGCCTTTTCGCTTGTTTTCACGCCATATCTCTGGAACGCAGTCGTTTCGGGAAAATCGCCACATTAGTACCAATCTTCTCGTCGTTCACAACCCGTTGGTGCCACTCATTGGCCGCCTCGTAGCCTGTAGTGCTATAACTCGCGCGGACAGACGGAACGACTACTGTAACCCTGTTGGTGTTGTTCTTGGCCACCTCGTAGCTTGTAGTAAGGAATAATACACACAGACTCGCTGCGTATGCGCATCGAGGGTGAATCTGACTTTTGAGGGAAGTCCATCTGATACGAAGCAGTATAGGAAACATTAAAGGACATCTGCAACGTCCTGCGCATTACAGGGAAGAGCAGTTTTGGTGGACAGTTCAATATTCTATATAATATTATAGTAGGGGGGTGAGTTTAGGACTTAGTGTAAGTGCATGTTTCACCATCTAACAATGAACTACAACAGGTAGAAAAGGTCACTATAAAATCAGAGAGTGGGCTATATAGGTTTCCTGGAAAAGCTTCTTTAGCAGAGAATTCTACTATTCATATTACCTCCTACTGGTCACCAGACTGCTGACTCTGAAAAATATGATGATATTATCATTGTTTATTTTATTCAACGACTGAACTTGCAATCTATGAATATGATCATTTCTGTGAAATGAAGGAGTGCCACATCATGAAAGAATAGAATGAAAAGCACTGAAGTGCAAACCCTCGGCGCACTGTGACGCGCACGCGTAAGTAAATGCATGCACCGTACTACTAATTGATGGACTGGATTTAGTTTTAGCTGTTACTCGTGGTCTCTTGCCAGCTCGGACAGAGTCTGACGCGGGCTAACTACACTACTAGATAGCATGCGAGAGGCGATACACGGCCCTGCCTTGCATCTTCTGGTGCCTCCGAAGTACGCAGAGCACGACTGCGGTAAGCCGTCCTGCCAGTTGCGTATTGGCATATTAGCTTTTTCGCGCTCTAGCTTTGCAACGGAGCATTTTCAGAGAAAACCGCACATAATTTCTGACCCTCATTGCCCGTTAAGTAGGTAGTATCCTTTGTGAGACGAACAAACACCGGAGAAGTGAGATTGAGAGTAACAGACAGACGCACACACACACAGACCCAATGAAAAGCACTAAAGTGCAAACCCTCGGCGAACTGGGGATGCGCGGTACCGCTCATTGATGGGCTGGGCTGCTATTAGTAGTTACTCGTTTCTGTCTCGTGCGTCTCCCGCTAGTAGCTCGTAGAGAGTCTGACACGGGCTAGCTACAGTAGTAGATAGTATGCGAGAGTCGATACACACCCTGCGTTGTGACTTCTTGTGCCTTCAAGATACACAGAGCAAGAGGACCCGGTCGAGGTTAAGTAGATCGTGTCCTTTGTGAGACGAACAAACACCCGAGTAGTGAGATTGAGAGTAACAGACAGACACACACACAGACCCAACTGCAGTACCCTCGCCGCGCATGCACGCCGAGGGTAACTACTGTAACCCTCGCTGCGCATGCGCGCCGAGGGTTAACAAGAAAGTGCCTACACCGAGACAGTAAGTCCCATCCTCATCCCTACATCTTTGTGATTCAATCTTTTGCTGGTCATGAATGCGTGAGCATCAAGCATGTTTACATGAACTGCTTTAGCAAACAAAAATCTGGACAGACAGACACACACTCTCACACACATATGGCACACACACGCACACACATACACACACACACCATTTTTACCCTCGGCGCGCATGCGCAGCGAGGGTACTGTAGTTGGGTCTGTCTGTCAATCTCACCTCTCGAGTGTCTGTTCGTCTCACAAATGATACGACCTACCTAACGGGCAATGAAGGTCAGAAACTTCGAACAGTTTTCTCTGAAAATGCTCCGTTGCAGAGCTAGAGTGCTTCCGCATTGTACGGCTAATGCTAGTCGGCCATTTTATCGCTGCGGAAAGGCGCATGCGCTTATATTTAGAACTGGCTTGGGTCCGCTTGCTCTGTGTATCTTGAAGGCACGATAAGTCACAATGAAGGGTGTGTATCGACTCCCACATGCTATCTACTACTGTAGCTAGCCAGTGTCGGACGCTACTAGCGGGACACCACGAGTATACTACATACTAATAGCAGCCCAGCCCATTAATTAGCGGTATCGCGCATGCCCAGTTCGCCGAGGGTTTGCACTTTAGTGCTTTTCATTACACTTGTGAGTATCACCAGAGTAAAAAATACATCACCAGGACCCTAGAGTAACAAGCCCACTTCCCCCTTAGGAAATTCCATACCTATGACATCACACTTCCTATAAATACCCCACTGCTGCATAGTAAACCATAGGATGCAAGTCCCCCAGAGAGCCTAAGATGTGATTGTACACTTCTTCAATACGGTACTGTAAGCTGTAGATTTTACACGAGAGTCTGTGACAATTGGATGTGTGGGGAGAGTTGGCATAGCCTTCAAAGTCTTGACCCACCGTCCCCAGTTCTCAAGGCTGGGCATCCATGTCTTACTCTTGTGTAGTGCATACACACATACTGTTCCGCTCTAACAGTAGCACCTTGCCCTCCCCTATTACCTCCATAACTTAGGGGCCCTTGCAAAAATGACACAGAAACCATAGAGTAGAGTAATAGCTCAATATCCATGCATGTCCCCAAGTAGAGTAGAAGTGAGTCAACAGTTAATGATGCATACACCTTGGACCACTAGGCAGCCACACGCGGTGAGGTCGGCACACGCCTCCCACAATCTGTAGGACTATATTCCTTTTCTTCCCCCAATACCCAACACACACACACACACTTGTGAGTATCACTAGAGAAAATACATCACCCAAGACTAACAAGCCCACTTCCCCCTTAGGAAATTCCATACGTATGACATCACAACTCCCTATAAATACCACACTGTGCATTAGTATATGGATTGCAAGTCCCCCAGAGAGCCTAAGGTATGTGATTGTAACTACTTCAATACAGTACTGTAAGCTGTAGATTTTACACGAGAGTCTGTGACATTGGATGTGTGGGGAGAGTTGGCTATATAGCCATCAAAGATCTTTAACCCACCGTCCCTAGTTCTCAAGGCTGGGCATCCATGTCCTACTCTTCGTGTTTGTATGAGTGAGACTGTGTAATTACAATGTGATAGGCTAGGGCTGCACAAGCGCAAAACGCTGAAGCACAAGTGGTAAATCTAAAAATACATGTCATTTTGACCACTGAGCTGCCACATCTAGTGAAGTTGACAAAAGCCTCGGGTCTTATTGTGTTTGTCTTTGGTCACTTTCCTTTCTCCCCCTTTCCCTCCCTTTCTCCCCCACAAACACACACACTCTAATTAACAGCATGGGAAGTTTTGACTTTAGTAGACATAATATCCACAACAAGGTATGAAATGAAGCAAAAGTTATTACTAAGGAGGTAGCTGGTATACTAAAATTGCCTTTATGTAATGTAGTAAGTACAGTAATTGTAGCCACGTAGTATATAGGCAAATCTGGACTCCAACCAGATGGAGTGGCCTCGCCCTTTCTGGAGTGTCTCACGTGTCGGGAGTTTAAAGAGGCCGAAACACGTGACATGGTGAAAGATTGGGAACTCCCCTGATGACCAGTAACAAAGAGCCTAGCACTGCACCAGCATGTTGCTTGGCTTGTGGATAGGTTTACCTATATATACATTTAAGCACCTGGCTGGCTGCATGCGGTGACGCCGACAAAATCCGCCCACGCTCTCTCGTTAGCTTTAGTCCAGCCTACACTTTACCTCTCTCTCTTCTTTCCCCAATCACAAACACACACACAATCGATGCCAATTAGGGTTTGTACAAGCAAGTAAGGCGTACATAGTAAACCCTTAACCGTGATACACAAATTGTATGCATAGCTGGGCCAACCTCTTGTCCTGTAGGTATGTGTCTGGCGAGTTTGACTTTGGCAAAGTTTCTTTTCCCAATCGTCTTGAGCAGCTTGTACTTTCCCACGTACACCTTGTCCTCCGGTGGACGGGACGACGACGACGGACGACTACGACTGCCTGACGAGGAGGAGTTGGCCCCCGTGTCTCGTCCCGAGGAGGGGCGGTGGTGGTGGCGAGATGGGCCCGAGCTGCTGTGCCCGTGACCGCTGTGGCTACTGTGGCTACTGTGACCGTGGCCACTAGAATCAGGGAGGGAGGATAGGAGCACAAAAATCACTTGGTTACTTTGCATCTCTTTTTGATGACCTGTGGCGTGTTACTCAGAATATAAAAAAGGAGGTGGATTTGGTTAGATCCCAGGTAATTCGTCTGAAAGACAGCATAGAAGACACTGAACATTCGATGGAGAAAAAACATGCAAAAGAATCTCTACTTCGTGTCTTGGATCTTCTTCAAAAGAAATTTACTGAATATTATGGACAAACATCTGTCTGCCGAAATGCCTTAGAAGAAAAAAGTGAAAACCTCGACCAATATTTTTAAGACGTGAGATTTATGCATCATTAATAGCTAGCTACCAACTGTTATTTACTTGCCCTGTTAACTGAGTTACTTTTTATACCTTGTTAACTGAGTTACTTTTTATATGCCCTGTTAACTGAGATACTTTTATACCTCGCTAACTGAGTTACTTTTATACCTTGTTAACCGAGTTACTTTTTACATTATGTCCTGAGTTACTTTTTATATGAAAAGCACTGAAGTGCAAACCCTCGGCGAACTGCACATGTGCGATACTGCTAATTGATGGGCTGGGCTATTTGTATGCGTTTACTCGTGGTCTCCCGCTAGTAGCTCGCGGAGTGTCTGACACGGGCTAGCTACTAGCATGCGGGAGTCGATACATGCCATTCGTTGTGACTTCTTGGGCCCCCCAAGGTATATTCACAGAGCGAGCGGATCAGGTCGCCGTAAGCCCAGTGCGATTATGCTTTTTTTCCCACTAGTAGCTCGCGGAGTGCCTGACACGGGCTAGCTACAATAGTTGATAGCATGCGGGAGTCGATACATGCCATTCGTTGTGACTTCCTGGGCCCCCCAAGGTATATTCACAGAGCGAGCGGATCAGGTCGCCGTAAGCCCAGTGCGATTATGCTTTTTCTCCCGCTAGTAGCTCGCGGAGTGCCTGACACGGGCTAGCTACAATAGTTGATAGCATGCGGGAGTCGATACATGCCATTCGTTGTGACTTCCTGGGCCCCCAAGGTATATTCACAGAGCGAGCGGATCATGCGATTATGCTTATTCGGTTGTTTTCACGGCGAACTTCAGGAAAATTGCTCTTTTAATTTTCAGGCTTGCATGGTTCTGTTCTGAAGCCGCTGGTATCGCTAATAGGCCGCCTCGTAGCCTGTATATAGTGCCAGAATAAGCGTTGATACCCACACACAGAACGACTACCGTAACCATCGCTGCGCATGCGCGCCAAGGGTTAATTATATCCTGTTAACTGAGTTACGTATTGTTACTAACACCATAATGTTTATAACACTAAAAACCAGACTGACTGCGTCAACCACGGACATGCTAACAGATCATTTCAAAGTACTTAGAAATTGCATTTCGTGTCGTACGCTACAACAAAGATTCCGTTATTCCATATGAACCTCTCATAATGAATGCAAACAAGCACCATGAACAGCGATATATCCGTAGAACTAAAACCTCCGAGAAGCAGACGCCTCCAAGCTCCACACGGAGAAACTGCTCTCCTGACCTTTGCCTCAAAAAGCCGACAGAAAAGCTGACCCATTGCAACTGAAGTGAGTTGTTAGCACATTCACACTAGGGCCGGCGGTTCTGCACAACAGACGCCTGTACGTAAGTAATAAATTTGCAGCATGCTTGAAATTGCTATTGTCGCAATAGCACATTTCACCACACACATTGCACATTGTCTCACTGGTGAATTCAGTACTCCTATTCTGCATCCACCAAATTTTTCACATAGCGCAATTGCAGCAAGCAAAGGTTTCTTTGGTGTGTACCACAGTGACAGTTGACACAAATGCTATTCGAGCGAAATGCAAAACACGTGCATGTGTCTAGCCTCACTTTTGGGTTACTTCAACTAGCAAGACTCTATAGTTGGGAGACATCAACAGCTACAAGAAACAAATGAAAAGCACTAAAGTGCAAACTCTTGATTGCTCGCGGTGTGTTCACTATGTACTACACATGCTCCTCATTTCCTGCCCTTCTCCCTTCCCCGCAGTTATTATTACCTGTTGGTGTTGTTCTTGGCCACCTCGTAGCTTGTAGTAAGGAATAATACACACAGACTCGCTGCGTATGCACATCGAGAGTGAATCTGACTTGAGGGAAGTCCATCTGGTACGAAGCAGTATAGGAAACATTCTGCGCATTACAGGGAAAAAGCAGTTTTGGTGGACAGTTCAATATTCTATCACTAAGTACAGTAGTACTTAGTATATAGGGATGGGCATGGTACCTAGCATCATAGATGTATGGAGCTATGATAGGCAGTTTTGTTCATCATCTTCTTCTTCTTCTTCTTCTTCAACCAGCATAACTCAAAAACCGAAAGAGATAAAGCCATGATATTTTTTTGGAATATACATATCCATAACCACATGTGCAACGTCATACTTTTTGTGTGTAAACAATGTTGTTTACTGTAGACAACAACAAAACTGCCCCAGGCAATACATTATAATGGACAATACGTTATAATGGGCATACTACATGTGTCAGTGTAACTCACAATTGGTAAGAGCTATGTGAACTTTCCAACTTTCCAATGGTAGCACGCATAGATATGAAACTTGGTACAGTATGTATGCCTATTATATCATTTCCATGACAATTACATGTTTCCATGACAACCACATATTGTTTGAAAAAGCCCCAGGCACTTTTCTTTAAAATTACTTCTTCGCTCCTCAAACTTGCTAACTACAGCACGCATGGAGGTGAAACTTTGTGCGCATGTGTATTACATTGTTTCCATGACAACCACAACAACAAATAGCCTCAGGCACTTTTCTTTCTTCACTTCCCAAACTTGCTAATGGCCGCACACATGCTAACATGATAGCCTTTGAAAACTCCTCATACATTTCAGCCACGGTCTCCTTCACTGTCTGATTGGACTCCAACAGACCAACCGTGTGTCCCGGCACGCCACATAACAGATGTGAAGTTAGTTGTTTATGGGGAATGGAGTGATGACCACAGCCCATTTCGACAAACGGGCAAGGAACATTGCGAAGCCGGCAGGTTGAGTCGCAGTGTGTTTTCAAGTCCTTGCGCATGATGTCGGTTGAACCACACTCGTACGGACAGCCAGGTCATGGGGTTAATTTCGGACATCCACTGTAGTGATTGGGAGAGCCGTCCCCTTCCGTTATTGCCTTGAAGGTGTCCTTATGCCCACAGTACTGGCATATGCACAGGCGATACGGGCACTCTTCTGCATGAGCTGCATACACTCCACGCTCCATTGTCTCACCACACTTGGCATTAGGGCACTTCACTGCTTCATAGTTGCACCCTGGAGTCGACCGCAGGTGACGTAGCAGAGACCCTTTCTCCCCCATCCACTTACACCCCTTGCCCCTATTGGCACAGTACACCTGGAGCTCATCTACATCACGCTCCAGGGCCGTTGTTCAGCATATGCTTCACTTTCTCCGTTCGGCAGTGGGGGCAGGACCTTCGGGGCCTGCTTCTCACGAGCCACTGTGCGAGACAAAGGAGGCAAAAGTGTTGGCCGCAGCACTCGGTGAGTTGGGGTCTCTCGAGGAGACGCGAGCAAGCAATAAGGCACGTGTAACGGGCAGGAACGGCGTCCACAAAGTCGCAGTCTCGTCGCCTTCGGAAAAGGCTGCAAAGGTGTGATAAATCAGGTGATGCCGATGGTAGTACAAATAGAACGACGAAGCTGTTTGCTGCCATTGATCCAGACACAACACATCACTGGCGGTCGTTAATTCGCGCGCTCGATTATTCCCGCGTAAATTTAGCGGGGTAGGGGAAAACCCTGGGGAAATTCCGCTGCAACAAGGCCAAAGTGCACACACCCGAGACACGATCGATCATCATGAGCCAGCCCCGTCCTCTTTTCCCGTCTGCACAGCCCACAGGGGAAGGAGGTATGTGTATATTCAGTGTAGTCGGAGATAATCGCAAGCACCAACATTACATTTCCTCTCCCGTACTCCGTGCAGTGTCTGCTAGCGATGGAAGCAGCAAGTCAAACAGGAGCTGGCTCACCAACTCCAGCTACCAACCTGCCCCTCCCCCACCTCCTATACACGAGGACCGCCCACCTCCCTTCAAAAGAGCCAAGGAAGACAAGAAGACGAAGGAGAAGAAGGAACAAAAAACAGGAGCTGCGCAGGGTAGTACAAAACCAGTCACCAACTGGCTGGAGGAATGCGGTCTCCCTCCACAAGAGGCCTATCGACTGGACGGAGGTGGTGACCGAGCCAACTTCCAGTACAGTGCTCTCTACAGTGGGGATATTGCCACCTACCGCCGGAGGTTTGGGGGGCGATGTCTGGGGCTGCGTCCAGACCAGAGCATTGAGTGGACTGACAACCGAGGGAGCAAGTTGGCCAAGAAGAGCAAAGACAGAGCCTCTCGCTACTTCACCTCGACTCTTCCGCAGAACGACACTTGTCTCTACCTCGGTACTCAGCGAGCCGCCGACGAGGCTTCTCCTGCTGCTGCACCTTCGAGACAGTCTCACGCTCCATTCTTCATGGCCCTGCAGCCCTCCTCCAGTGCCCAGAATACTGAGATAAAAGAGGGAGAGGAGAACGATCACAATCACCACCAGCAACTGACGTCAGAACTGTACGCCTCGCAGAAGACGGCCTCGTACAACCGAGCGTTGCAAGACGACCCACACAACGTGGCTCTCTGGCTGGAGTTTCTGGAGTTTCAACCAGCTCTGCAGGCCAAACCAGGAGGAGGGGGAGGGGGAGGGATGGACACGTCTAAAGCAACCAGGGCTCTGAACGAAAGAAAACTGGCAATCTTTGAGCGGGCGCTGGAGCAAAATCCCACCTCGCAGGATCTCCTGGTGGCCCACCTGGAACTACTGAGGGACATGGACCAGGAGCATCAGTCCGTGATGAAGAGGTGGCGGGACTTGCTATTCAGGATGCCCAACAAACCGCTCCTCTGGATAAAGTACACCGAGTTTGCCCGCACTCAGTTCTCAACCTTCTCCCTGTCCTCCCTGTCCGCTCTCTACCACAAGGCCTTCTCAACCCTGACCTCCATCGTGGAGGGTGTTATGAAATCTCACAGAGCTGAGCCAGGCACAGCGGGCTACCTCCTCGTCTTGTTCTCCCAGTTCACCCACTGTCTTGCAGCCGCCGGTCAAAACGAGAGAGCAGTTGCCTGCTACCAGGCTCTGATGGAGTTCAACCTCGCCTGTCCGTCTGATATCTCCTCTGTGGGGACGTCCAGGGAGAGAGCCGCTTTCTTTGAGCCGTACTGGGACAGTGGTGCTCCAAGACTGGGCGAGACTGGTGCCGTTGGCTGGGGTCAGTGGATGGAGGCAAGTCAGAGCCAAACACCTGCCAAACCTCTAGCGTTCATCGATGCAACTTTTCTCGCAACTTCTCATCCTCCTCAATCATCTGATACTAACGAAGGGAGTGACCCGGAATTGGAGCTAATAGCCGACTGCTCTCTTCCCGAGGCCTGGCTAAGACTCGAGAACCAGCGACAAGCAAACGATGCCCTCCCGTTTCGTGGCTCCGAGGATGACCTCTCTGACCCCGAGCGAGTCGTCCTGTTTGAAGATGTCTCCCAGAGCCTATTCTGGCTGGCTGAGCCTCACCTCCGAATGAAACTAGTACTTCAGTACCTCCAGTTTCTTGGTGTTGAGTTGGGCCAGGGGGGAAGCCCCTGTCTTGATAGCTTACCCCACCTTCTCTCCTCTCATTTTCACTGCCCCTCCTGCTCTTCGGGGTGCCCCTCACTGATAAACTCATCTTGTGACAAAGCCCACTCTTCTCTCCATCCCCACAACTTTTGTGGTGTGGGGGCGGGATACCGACCTTTGTCCACTAGTGACCTACTAACGACAGGGGCCGGTCACTCTCTCCCCTCTCCCGCCACGTCTCAGTTTATCACTAACACGTTCAACCAGATCCTCTCCCTCGTCACTGAGCTAGAGTCACAGAGCCTTGTGGCCGTGGAGTGGGTCAGATTCGAACTCGCTCTCCTAGCCCCAGCCCTCCGAGACCCAGCCCGCAGCAAGACAAAGGACACACGGGGAAAGACCAGAGCCGTACAGAAACTGGTCAAGAGTCTGCTGAGACACGAGTCTCACAGGAACAACTTGGCACTGTGGGATTGCTGTGCGCAGCTAGAGTCCTTGCTTAGCGGACCGCGAGAGGCCGGGACACTGTATGAATCAGTTCTCTCCCAGTACGCCACAATCACCCCTCCCCTCCTCCCTCTCTATCAGCACTACTGTGAGATACTCATGGGGTTGGCTGGGAACATAGCCACAGGACACACACCCTCCCCGGAGTCCCTGTCTCGTGCTCTCCAGTGTACAGTGTGTGTGGCGGAGGGGTGCTACAACAAGCCGGCCGAGTCTGGTCCATCTGGGAGCGCAGTACTCAGAGCCAGACACCTCTTCCACCAGCAGAGCCCCTCGAGCAACACCCCCACCCCTTACCTCCTCTGCCACGCCTACTTTGAGTACCTCAGTCGAGGACTCCAGCCGGCCTCCAGTGTATTCGATGGCATCATCTCAACCAGAGAAACTCAGCTCTCCTCCTCCTCCTCCTCCTCCTCCCCTGATTATAGCGACAAGACTCAAAGTCTGGACCTGCTCACCCTATACCGCCACCAGGTGGCTCTTCTACTGCAGCACTCTGAGTCCAAACCAATGCCACCGACACTGCTGTGGGGTGTGCTGGAGCGAGCTCTGGCTGTGTTCCCAGATGACCCGTTCTTCCTCTCTGCCTACACTGACTCCCAGCAACCTCTCTACCTCATGGGGAAACTTAGGAAGTATTTCGACAGCCATGCCCCCAGAGCGCAGACAGCTCTCCCCTGGCTCCACGCGGTGCGAGCAGAGGTTGCTCGCTACGGACGACTGAGGGAGGGAGAGATGGAGGGAGAAACTGACGTCCCCGCTGGCCTGGTGAACAGGATTCGAGCACTGCTCAACAGGGCTATTCAGAGTGTTAATGGAAGGGGCTGCCCGTTGTTATGGAGGCTGGCTATGAGTTTTGAGGTAAGGTGTATTATAACAATCAGCATAGCGACTCTCCAAATAGAGCACACCTTTCTATATGTAAGACACTTATTTAGATTGGTGTGTAATATTCAAATGCACTAGGGCCATAGACAGGCGTATTATTAAAGCTGTACTACATAAAAGACACTGACAGGTTCACGGTCCCAGTTGGTCCCATTTGCAGGTTCCACTCTACACATTCAATGTTTCTACTAAGGTGGTATAAAGGTTTTTGGTCCCAGCAATGCCAGCATGACTTGTATTTGGAGACATAGGTGTATGTTGCTCCCACCCAATGTCCAGGTGGAGCAACACAGAATGTCTGAGGCTAAGGCTCTATTCTACCAGGCCATTCAGTACTGTCCAGGGGCTAAGGTACGCCATATATGTTGTACCACATACAGAAACACTGTACATATCTACACCACATGCACACGAGCTGACAAATGTAGCACCCTAGTGTGTTTTATGTACATCTTTTCAGCACAATGCAGTATCATAGCTCGTGCCCCTGGTGTTTTGTGACTGGTACAGTACTCCCAGCCCTGATAACATGCACATAATATTTGGCCTGGTCTATGGCCTGAAAGCATGTGCGTATATATACTGTTATACACAAGCCACATTTTCTCGAGACGCGAATTTTGAAAAGTTTGTGTTCTTGATCCAAATTTTGAAAAGAAACTATGAGACTAGGACGGAACTCAGTTTTTTCATGAATTTTCTTCCCGTGAGAATTAACTCTTCTGAATACATTCAATCCCCAAACCTGTCCTTATCGCTATCTTTATGAGACAACATTGGGCAGCAGTTAGCATGTTTATTACCCCCACTGTCTGTTGTACACACACAGCTACGTTATCAGCAGTGTCCCCTTGTGGCCATAGGTGCTGTATTGGGACACAGTGAGGCACTTCCCGACAGAGCTGGGGCGAGTGCTCGAGGTGATGGAGGAGAGAGAACTGAGGATACGAGCTCCCCTGGAGGAAGTCCAAATGCTGTTGGATGCCACAACCCAACAGAACTCATGATCATACCTTTTACTGCGTTCATAATAGCAGGTTCCTCTGGTGCAGTTTATAGAGTGCGTACAGCATAACTGATTTTTATGTTCAAAACCACCATTGAAAAAAGCTACACACACACAACAGAAGATGCAATAAAAAATGTTCAGCAATTGGCTGCCTTCAGAGGGACTTGTTCAGGAGCTAGGGTGTTTATGGGAGCCGATATGGACGGCTTCCGTGACGAAGTAACTCTGTGACCTGCCGGCGTGTGCTCTTCTTCTCCCTCATGTTGCCGAGTAGTGTACCTCAGCCGTAGCACCTTTTCCTTTGCCTTGACCGCACGAGTCTTCATGCATTCTTGGATCAAGAACACAAACTTGGCCAGGAGGAACAGAAACGGAGTTGTGGCTATGACAAAGCCGTAGACGTGCTTGGCCGAGATGCCCTCGGTGAACGTGATACCAAATAGAATGCCGGAGACTGTGGGGAAAATCATGATCTTGACAAACATCAGGATCTCTGCAGGGTAGCGGTCCACTTCCTCCGAGAGGCATTCTCTCTTCTGGTATAGGGCTATGCTCCAGAACAGGAGCTGGCTGAGGCCCACTAGAAACACCAGCACAACCGACGCCCTCATAGCTACTAGTTGGTTATCCACAGAGTACATTGTCTTCAAACTCTCTTCGTTGCTGATGAAAATGACGTAGATGGAGGACACGAATGGGATCCCGCCGACAAGGCAGAGGGTGATCGTGTTGATAAAGGAGAGGGTTGGGGTGATCTTTTTGAGGAAGTGGAACATTCCGTACTGGACAAACCACAGGAGACCCACGATGCAGAAGCTGGCCACATAGGAGAGGTAGATGAAACGGGTGGAGCCCAGAGCATACCTGAGGTTCCCACCGTGGTTGTTTCTGACCGCCTCGCTAGTCGGGATGGTGGCGGTGAAGTCTAAGACTATGAGAGTGGCCACGATAGAGAACACACCATCGCTGAAGGCTTCTGTCCTGCTCTTGCTGGCCACAGTCCTGAAGATGGACGTGGCAAAGTCGGGCAGGGAGTAGCACTTGCGGCGGTGGTAAAGGTGTATAACAGTTCTCACTACGAGTGATCCGAGCCCCATGCAGTAAAAGAACACTAGAGAGATAATCTGCGTTGATTCTGTGTGAAATAGGCTAAAGAATAGTGCCCCCAGAGCAAGGAGGGGATTCACGGAGAGCGTGGTGAGGAGTCCTATCTTCAGAGAGCGCATGTCAGTGTTGTCAGCTACCTCGGGATGCAGAAGAGCCTGCTTTCTAAAGGCATAGAGAAGCATGACCACCATAATCAATCCAGTCAGAATGATGATTGCCGAGCAGGTGGAAACTGCTAGTTCAAAACCCTCCGGTCTGCTGGCCTGGAAATGGCTGATGAGCCCGGTGCCGTATGGCAGGAAGCTGATAAAGAGGAGAGAGAGGAGGTTGAGCCACATTATGACGTCGTCCACTTGCTCCACGATGCTGAAGATGCGGGAGTGGCTATACCAGGTGTCAACCACCAGAACGAAAGAGAACAAGTAGATGAGGTAGCGGGGGTACAAGTTGTACAGGTGGTCGTGAAGGATGTAGTCCGAAGGGATGTCTCCCTCTTTGATGTTGAGCTTCAGAGGGATGACCATGATCGTGGCAACTATGGCGAACACGGCGTCGCTGAAAGCCTGCAGACGCTCTCCGCGGAAGATGTGCTGCACAGCAGACATTTTTGCTTCTCCGCTTGAGTCTCTGCAAGAGAGCAGCACCCAGCTCCCCTAGTTTTCTAAGCACACATGATGGGCGTGGCTACGCGCGCATGCGCACGAAGGAACCGTTTCCAATTATTGCGCACCGTCTGTGAGTGCAGCTGTCTTTCTTTCTCCAACTCGTGCATGCAGCAGGGTGTTAGAGTCTCCGATGTGTGTCCGTTGTTGCTCTCCCTCTCACCCCACGGCCGCTATTATCGTGGTTATTTATCAATAGATGTAAGTTGGCCCGTTATACAGAGTAGCTGGGTGACATTTCATTCCAATGTAGGGACGAGACTTTGCTTTTGCCCTCACACTTCCTTCATCAGGAGAGTTAAAAGATGCACGGTAATTTACTACAAAACTTTACTAACCCATCCAGGATCACTGCCTGAATGCTCAGTATTAGACCACGATAATGTAGCCCAGCGCATCAATTTGCAGTTCTTACCTGCGCATGTGTATGTGTGCAGTGCTTAAATGTGTGTGTTTATACTTGCTGTATTAAACCCTCCTCGCTCAAGTATTGGGTGTGGTCTGACGGATAGGGACTCACACACTGGATCGTGAGGTCCACGGTCCACGGGTTCGATCCCGGTCCGGGGTGCTTTTTTTATAGTGATGTAATACGAGTGTTGACATTTGTAGAGATTGAAGATAACGTTTCTTACTCAGCATTGAGTGTGACTGGCTGTTGGCCCAGATGCTCAGAGGAAAGGAGGCACTGCTTCAGAAGGTGAATTACAGTATAGTGAAATTCTTGATGTCCTGTATAATGAAAAGCACTGAAGTGCAAACCCTCGGCGCACTGTGACGCGCACGCGTAAGTAAACGCGTGCGCCTACCACTAATTGATGGGCTGGGTTTAGTTTTAGCTGTTACTCGTGGTCTCTTGCCAGCTCGCGCAGTCTGACAGACAGACACACAGACCCAACTACCGTAACCCTCACTGCGCATGCGCGCCGAGGGTTAATTATACTGGGATACACTCTTCCCACGTCATGTTACGGTAGTGCGATATCTTGTTCATCATGTTCTGAAGTGTACTCTGTGCAGTGTATGATAGTTGCACTCTGACCTGCAACAGTTAATTGCACATTATCCATTCTGTGGTTATGCGACATTCCTTTGTCGTCATCGTTTGTGCGGCCCTAGCAGTGTGGAGGTGATTGACTGTGCTATGAATGTTATGGGTTTCCACACCAATTGCCGTGAATAGGAACCTGATGTGCATTCTATACGTGTTCATTACAGCGAGGCCCTTGCTCAGGCATAATAATGGTATATGCAATAGACCGTGTTGTTCAATGTCCATCCCCTTTCTTCACGAAATACACTTTGGACCACTAAGGGCCTCTCACCCTACTCCTAATGTACTTTTTGGTATAAATGTATGCTTTTTCTTTCTGTTACCTGCATGTTCGGTATTGTAGTAATCATTTTGTGTATATACTGTAGATAAACATGGCGTCCCGTCAAATGCATCACATGACACAATCTAATAGATACCCCAGCAAAAATTACGTAACACACACAAGAACTTATGGTGCAGGGATTCTGATCCTGCATCACACGAGGCATGCTAAGCATAAGCCACCAGCAACAAATTGGAGAGAAGTGCCCTACGCACAATAAGAGCTTGAGTCGACCATGTTTCATTCTGCAAATAATATTCTCTCTCAGCTTCTCCAGGAGAGTGAAGACGAGGCTTCTTTTCTCATGAAACTCAAGCAAATACTGGTCAGTAGCCTGCCATCCGAAACACCCTCCTCTCCCCCAATCTCTCCTCCACAGACCTGGGTTTTAGCTAAGTATTGGGTTACCTACCCTCCTTTTAGCCCTAACCCCCTCCTTTACTGAAGTGGACATAATACATCATAGAGTTGTCCTGCGTTTAGTTGCTTTGCCTTTGCCTTACAACCAATACATGGGCTATGCTGTCAGTCATGTGCTCACTCACTTCTATGCAAACCCCTAAGTATGAAACTCTCTAAGGGGGTGTAGTATTGGTAAACAGCAAGAAGTCTCCTATGACACACTCACTGTGTGGCACCTACACAATATTCTCTCTTGGCTATACTAAACCCTGACAGACTCCCACCGATAATGGTATTCCTGTTATAACTGGCCCCTCGCCGCAGACCCACACCAGTAGCAGTCCTGGCCTGGCCCCTCCCCCTCCTCCCCGTCACCCAGCCCACTACACTCAGCTACTGGCTGACCTGGACACCATTGGCTGGAAAAGAGTGACTCGTGTCAGCCAGGACTTCTCCCAACTCACCATCACCACTCTGTGAGTCTCTAACAAACAAAACTTCCATCGACAAAACCTTCGAGTGACAAACGTTTTACAGAATGCAGTCAACTAGTAAATGTGACACATTTTTTATTTTACACTATAGAGTCTTTTGTATGTTTTCTTTCACAGTCTGCCGGCAAGTGTACGGCAGCCAAAACTTAAAATGTTCATTTTTCACTACTTCATATTTTTGTCAGCAATTCATAGAATGTGATACACTGCATAACACACAGAGTTTGAAGTATTTTTCACCTTAGCTGAAGGATACTTTGTCATTAGAGTAGTACAATATCTAATAGATCATGTGCGTTTAGAGTTCTGTACGTGATTTACGGAACGCAAGTCACAATAAGCATGTATATTATACACTGTCTGTCTCGCCATTCTGTATGTAGAATGCAAAAGATTCTGGGTGTGTACTGATAACTGAAGCTTTCACAATCCTGGCTTAGTAGAAAGATGGCTCTCTGAAAGTGCCAAATGGACCAGCTGTTCTCTCTCAACCTGGTGGTTGAAATACATATGTATGTGTATTATAAAAGCTGTAAGCCCAACCATGAGCTTCAGACTGGTGGCTGTAGTGACTAAAGTTGGTTGTGTATATACATGCCTATGGTGGAGTAGGGTACTACTCATTTGCCCCTTCAACATTCCATGTCTCCATTTTTGAGTCTGGGAGTGCCGAGCATGTTTCCATCAGTGAAAGCTTTAGCCTACCATACCCACCCACGCTATACCTCTCCCCTTTTTTTTGGAGCAGCACTTTTTCTCGCTAGTGACAACAAAAGGCAAGTATCGAGTCCCGCATGCTATCTACCATTGTAGCTAGCCCGCACGAGAATTTTTTACGTGACTTGCTTACATCATCTTCCAACCTATTCTGGACTGACCTGATGCGCAAAGGACACATACGTACTTGTCCAAAGTCTACATACACTTTTAAGTCGCAACTTTTGTGTCCTCTTGGTTATACTGTGTACTCAGCTCCAATGAGTGTTTCCTAATTACATTTCTCAGCTGCTTTATGATCAATGGTATAAGTAACACTGCAATTACTGTTGCATCAACTGAAACCCATGACACAATGGAGAACAGAGAATGGTGGGGTTGTCAAGCTCTGTTAGACCGGTACATGTATATACCTTTTATAGGCACCAGTCTAAAGGAGATCAATCTGCATAATTTTGCATGTCTATAAGTAGAGTGATATTGTGTAATAGTAATCAAGTTTTTTTGTATCAAGCTGTGCTGTGTCACACCACACCAACCGCTGACACATGCAAGGGCTTGTGATGAACCAGCATGTATGTAATATAGTGGAAAGTGCCCCCCTGTCCCCTGCTATATAGTGGTGGGTGGTCCGCTGCAGGACTCTTGTCTGCCTATCAATGATCTGTGGAATGCTCTGAATTGACAGGTCTACCACATACCACCTCTATGTACACACACTACCATGTGCTTGCATGCTTGAAAAGCCAAAGAAGTGAATATCTACTTACTATGTATATACACATGCTGGTAGAGTACAGTGAGTGTTCTTGTATTTCTGTGCTGTGTTATCCCTACTGCAGGGATGGGAAGCAGAGAGAACATGTATTCACAGTCCACATGGCACAGGTCTGGACCCTGCAGCACACTAATCACATTACATGACCTAAGTGTGTTGTAGTTGTTGATAGGACACTCCTCTGCTCTACCTCGGGTAGAAGGCTATATACATGAGCTCCTACAGCTCGGTGCCGGCATGTGAAACTCTATATGCAGCTCTTTACTACATTAGCCTGCTTGTGAAGGCACAGCTCTATAAAATTATCATACCGCATGCACAGCAATCCTCTGTATTGCATGCACAGCTCTATATACACAGCTTTGTGCTACATTTGATGGCATCTGAAGGCACAGGAAAACATGTTGTGCTCTCACTACCTCTGTTAAGGCATACTACTGTTGTGTACCCTATACTTTGGGAACAAGTACTCGTGGAGCTGTGTTTCTTATGGTTCTCCCACATCTCCTGTTTACTTTCACATTTCCTCATGCATATATATATAGCTTCTGTGTTTCTTGTATACCGTTGGATGGAAATAATGTAGCTCTGGCTTGTGACTATATAGTATAGGTATGTTTGTGTGGTGTTACTGCAGAAGGAGGAGGAGGCCCCTACAATTACCTGTGATCTTCCCATTCCCTTCAAACCTTCATGGACTGGAAAGGTATTATGGTTGTATAGTTTCTATGCACGAGACTGAATATTTAATTTCATATCTCTATAATATTATTTCTCGAGTGTGTATTCTTCTATCTAGCAATTCTTACTCTGTGGAAGAGTTTTTTTACTATTGCCACGTCCATGCAGCTGTGGACTACGACTATGAGTGCACCAGTAGTATACACTTTACAGTGTGGGGCAGATTGACAGTAATGGAAAATAATAAGTCATGATAAGCCACACACATCAAGAAATTTACCTATAGCCACGCACACACAAGTGTCCATAATGTGTAGACAACACACATAATGTACGCACACATGAACACACACACAGATACACACCCACACACAGATACACGCCCACACCAGCATGCAGGCATGTACACTGGCTGACTCGCCTGGGGCTGAGCATGCAGTTAGATGCATGCACCATTTAGCATACAATCAAGGTCCTTCCCATCCACATGTATGTATAGTCCATTCCACATGTGGAAGGTGCAGTGCATACCTTGCCCTACCTTGCTGGGCTGACCACCCAGTTACTCACACTCCCCACTGTCCCAGCCACTCCTAAACTCTTGCCCTTGCTGTGGAACCACTGCTATGTGGACAGTGACCTGAGAACCACTCTATGTGTAGCCCTGACGATGGATTTATCTACAGCCTTGTTTTGGCAGGCATCTCCTTTTGTGTGGTTGGCAGGTGCTACGGAATTCCTGCCTAATTCTACAAAGATGTGGGTGCCATTACCCCATATAAAAGTGAAGGACCCTAAATTTGATTTGCTCTAATGGGCTATAGAGGAGTTTGGGTGTGGCTGGGTTTTGCCGAGCCTCGTGTGACGTATGTGTGTGTGTGTGTATGTGTACTCAAGAGAACCTCGTGACTCCTCCGCATTCCTGCGTCCCACAGTGTTTTACTCTCAACTATTGTGATAGCCAGATTCCTGGCTCCCTGGGCGAGACCACAGTCTTGGCCAAGTCTTTTGAGGCTAATCCTCTCACAGTTTTCATGTCCCTGTACTACAGGTCACATGCATGCAAGCAGGTGTTGTGTGTGTGAGTACTACAGTGGAGTGTGTGCTGTGCTGGCTGCCCCTCGTGTAAATCCCTCCTGTGAAAGTCTCTTGGCTAGTGTCTTGTTGTTCATGATGAATGGATAGTGTGTCCTAACACACCTGTCTAAGTCATTACTTCCCACCCCCAACACTACAAGCAGGTGGTGTACTGTGTGAGTGTAGAGACACATGTCACTATCTAAAGAAGTGTTGTCGTTTCATTTTCCGTTTGCTGCACTGATGAATCGTGATAAGTGCACGTCTTTAGTGATGCACTTTACACTTGTGTGCAATTGAAAACGTCAGGAGGTTTGGTCAGATGTGGTCCCAACTCCCATGTCTACTCTTTGCTCCAACATGCACCTGTTAACCATAGCAGGCATCTCTGTGTAGCAGGGTACCCAATATTTGTGCCCACTCTTCTCCTTGTTAGAGACATCCCTCCCTACTAAGGAAGTTTGAAAAGCATGGAGCTATTGCCCTGTGATAAATTTCCTTTTGATATGTTGATGTAGTGTAAGTCAGTCTGATTGATATTCTAGGGCAGTAGGCCAACTATGTTGTGATTGGTCTCCAGTTGCAACTGACATGTGCATAGCTTCTCACCTTTCCTCTCATGTTTACCCTCTCTCCCTCTCCCATTCTCCCCCTCACCCTCTTCCACTGCCCTCAACTCTCCTATATCCCCCTTTCACCCGCTTCCAAGACCACTCTGCCTCAGATGCTAGAGAGATTTGAGGAGCAACTGAAGGTGAGGAATGTCCAGTAATGCCAATTGGCAAGGGGCCATTTCATTTGCCCCGGTCATACACTGCCCTACCCTCATGCCTCACGCAAATATTAGTGACTGGCACCCCATGTATTAGAGTTACTGCCACAACATGTACTAGAGTGATGATTGCTGGTATTGAGTCAACTGGACACTGTATACTGAAGGTGCACCAGGTGTTCTGGGACGTCATGGACCAGTTGGACCGGGAGACGTGGGTCTTGGAACCACAGCAGCCCAAGCCAGACTCCATCTGCCGCAGGATTGTCGTCTGTAAGGCCTTTTCACAAATTGTGCTCACTCAGTTGCAAATTTTTTTTGTGAGGGGCTCATGATCACCAGTGATCGAGGCTTAATTCAGGAGAGAGAAACGATTTCAGGTTGAGGGATCATACAGTATTAATCCTGGCACTGTTCTACAGTGGCCATTGTTTCTGTCACAGCTGTATATATAAGTCCTTGTTTGGGCCGTTGTTAACGTATCAGACGGCTTTGCAGGTTGGCAATCACTGGTGGTGTGTCCCTGGTGACCAGTAGCAGAGAGAATGTCTTAAATGTAATTCTCACAAACAACACACCAACGTCTGTTGTGTTGGCTGCTAGCTAATGTACCTAATAAAGCATCGCAAAGTGTGAGAGATTATGTAATGCAACTTTGTTGTTTGCCTGCCAGTGTACTATTGACCTCTATGGGGCGAGTTATTGTGTAATACGTACTATGTATATACCTGCATGGATGACACCAAGACAAAACACTTAGACCGAAATATGTGTATCTATCCTCCAAAAGACACAGAAGGCTGCATGTGTATGTGTGCATGTGTAAACGCACTTGCTGTCTGCTTGTTTTTAGTAGTGCATCAATAGCCCCTCATGCACCCCCACTTACTACCCAGCCCACTCGCCCCATGGACACACTCTCTGAGCACACACTCTGTGCTTATATGGTCTCTTGTTTGATTCCTGTGTGCACATGGCGTTACAGGCTGTTTTGATGACTCCCCTGTATATACTCCCACTAGGGTGGGTGGCTGGAAGGGCCTTGATTTTTAGAGTAGTTTCTTGGCTTAATCTGCTGCCCTTGTCCTCCGGTAGGGATAGGGTATGTATGTATAAACTGGAGACATTGGAGTGAATGGTGAACTTACAGTAGAACAGATGTATACATGTGTGAACCATAAGTGAGATGTGTAGAATATGCATGCACCTTGTGTATAGAATTGTCTTAGCTCGCTCTTGCTGGTTGAACCCTAATTCAGTCAATGTGCTTACATGTACTGTATAATATAGCTCATCCTGTACCCCCATTCATTCTAGTCCATAGTCTCTTGTAGAGCAACCCCTGCTAGGTTATGAACTATGGCAGGTAGTGTATTTGGTCAGCTGTAGTAAGTACACTCTGTGAATAGGACAGAGCAGACCTCAGCAATGGCCTGGAACTTGGGGTGTGTTCACTACTAGGTTTACTGCAATTAGTTTTGAGAAGGTTTGATTTGGTGCTACATGCATTGCGGCATTCTTGAAATGTCTGAGGGTGAGCTGTTCTCTTACAATTCCATTGTCCCAGTCTACTCTATGTGATTGTGTGTAGCTGATTGACTTCAGGTCATGGTTCATTGATAGATTATGAGGTTCAGGACACACAATCTTTATTAGCAAATAGCTGCGCTGTTATACATGCTCAATGAAAAGGCACTAAAGTCGGCGAACTGCGCATGCCTCATACCGCTAATTGATGGGCTGGGCTATCAGTATGTGTTTCTCCCGCTACTAGCTTGCAGAGAGTCTGGCACGGGCTAGCTGCAGTAGTAGATAGCAAGCGGGAGTCGATACATGCCCTTCGTTGTGACTTCTTGTGCCTTCAGGATACACAGAGCAAGAACGTTTATAATATACGCATGCGCACAGCTAATTGATGGGTTGGGCCATGCAACTCAGTCCACGACCGTGCCCGTTTCTCACTCTCGAACGCAGTCGTTTCAGCAAAATCGCTCTTTCATTTTTCAGGCTCGCGCAGTTCTGCAGCTGTCGGTATCGCTGATAGGCCGCCTCGTAGCACGTAGTGCCAGAATAGCTGCTGACACACACACACACACAGACCAAGTACCGTAACCCTCGCTGGGCATGCACCCACCCCCCCTGATACACAAAGGACTGGCACCATGATGAAAAGCACAGCCTTGTTTGTAGCCCATATGATGTGTAAATTACTATAGAACCTCTGACTGTGGGATTGGAACACATCTGGACACTGGTACAGTAATAGCTTGTCCTAGGCAACACACATGCTCAAAGAAGTGACCACAACCAAGGCATGAAGTTTAGTAAGGAAAGTTGTAGGGGGAGAGAAAACTACTGTTTTCTCACCTCTGACAGTGTAAATAGTGACTACAGCAGGAGAACACTTTGCAGTTTACCTTTGATGTAAGATGATGAAACAGCCTTTGAGCATGTCTAGGGTCTACTATATACATAGTACATGTAGTGTCCTATATAGTCTGCTTGTGCCTAGGTGCAAATTAGTTTTGGAGGAAATTTGTTCAGACACTGAGAGTTTATCTTAGAATGTGTTTTCTCAACAGTGTCCAGTGGACGGTGGTTTATTCAAGCCATTGAGGACACAGAACTGGGCCTCCCAGTCAGCACCTTTCAGGCCCCCTCTCTCTCTCTCTCTCTCTCTCTCCCTTCCTCCCTCCCTCCCTCTCCCTCTCTCTCCCTCCCTCCCTCTCTCTCTCCCTTCCTCCCTCCCTCCCTCTCCCTCTCTCTCCCTCCCTCCCTCTCTCTCTCCCTTCCTCCCTCCCTCCCTCCCTCCCTCTCCCTCTGTCCTTACATGTCCATCTTGTGTTGTGGAGATGGTGTGGGTCTTTGTCAGGTAATGGGCGTCCTGTCTGGAGTCCAATTGAGCTAGTGTGACTCCATAGTTCTCTATGAATGCAGCAACATCTGCACTCCACCAACATTATGAATGGGGGGGTATATACATGGCTGTGAATAACACATTTTGAGTGTTGTATACACCTGACCCCCCACGCTCTATATGACTTGGGTTATTCATCTGGGGTGGAGGAAAGCTGTTGAAACATTTACTGTGGGTGTCATTGATGTGCTGTGTTTTACACGGTATGACTCTCATGGACTCCTGCAGGAGTTTCATTGTCATCTATACTCGTCTTTCCCAGGTTCTAATGTGTCTCTGTACGTCAGTGTTGATCCAAGTCGACCCCTGAGTCTGCCAGAGTTTAAGTTTTTAGGACCGGAACATGGTAAACAGTCTGTGTGTTTGTAGATAACAACCACAAACACTCTCACTCTATCTCGCTGTACACAACTCCTCTTACGCTGCACTGCCTGCGAGTGCCTGTTGTGGCATGGGTGAAATTCTGACCATGACACTCAGGCTCTGTAGACAGGTTGTTCTACTGCCAAGCTTCCAGAGAAGTTCAGCATCAATGCTACTTAATGGTAAAAGTGCACCATGAAGTTTGGAGCTTACACATTTTGAGCTTTAGGATTGGGTGTGCCAGAGACAGGCAAATGAATACCTAGAGCATGCTGTCACTGGCTGCTTTGTCTAGGAATGCTCAAAAGTCTGGGCAGTTGGCAACTAGATTGCACCCCCCCTTGCGTCATCTCTCCCCCTCTGCAGTGGTTGGCCCAATCAGACGAAGGATGCTGGCCAAGGTCCCTCACTGGTATGTAGGGGTGACAATAATTACAAAGTCCTGTTCTAAAGTTAGAACACACTTTAGCTAGAGTATATATAGACCTTGAGGACCAGCACCCACCCTCAATTAGCCTTATCAAGAATTTTAACGCAAATAGGGGCACTTGCACATACCAAAAGCATTGAGAAAATGCACTTGAGTCCGTTATATGTCCCTCAGGTGGAGGATATAGCACTGATAACCGCCCTCTTGGAACTTCTAGAGGCATTTTGGTGGTTGGTTATATTATCCTAGGTGTAGGATTATTATGATTTATAGAGGCCAGTTTGTCCTATCGATAAATCCACATTTAAGATATGCAACAGGTTTACCCACAGTCCTCCCTCAGGGATTCTAGTGGGCAGTTGACTGTAAAAGAGAATCTCGAGAATCTGATGGACTTGAAACTGCCAGGCCCTGAGGAATCCCAGCAGGAGGTGAGAATGCTTTGAGTGAGAGAGGTGAACCAGTAACCTCTCCCCCTCACCCTCCTGGCATGCCCACAGTGTCGCTATCTCCATGCCCACACAGGAGGTCATGTGTTGTGGGTTCTAAGTCATCCCCTGGGAACATGCATGGAGTCAGCGCGGCCTGTGCTATTTTTACTGCAGGGTTTCTGTGGAGAGTGTGGTGTGTGCTATGCCTATCAGCTAGAAGGTCTAGTTCCTGAGGTAGTGTGTGACAATGCCCACTGCAACCAGCCCTTCCACTTTGCCTGCCTCTTGGAGGTATGCAAGCTAGTACACGCTGGCCATTTACCTCTCTAATGCACCATGTACATAATGTATCCAAGTATGTAATTATACATTGAGTTCATGTTGAAGGTATTTGGGAGTTGTGTAACGTTGGAGATGGGGTCCAAGCCAGCTTGCACGGTGTATACATGTGCACATTAACTCCCATGCTCTGTTACAATCTCCAATGGGAGCGTATATATGCATGGTGCAGGAATTCTGGGTGTGGACGTATACTTTCTCAAAGGGAGCACACACAAGGCAGTAGTGTTGTACATAACTAGAGGCGTACTTGCACGTAATGGAACAGTATAGAGCAGTATGTACATGCGCACATGGATAACACACAGGGCTGTATTGATGCAACGGTTCTGTCCATTCTTACAGTGGTTGCAGACCCTCCCAACCACTAGACAGAGTTTTGGTGTCCTTTTTGGGGAGTGTCCTTACTGCAATCATGTGAGTAACTACTAACTGTATATACCACTATAGTCTGTTATAGGCAAGAGCTACTGCTTGCTGTTGCCTCTATTCCATGTAGATTTAGTAAGACCAAGAGTCTGAGAATGCAAGGCCCAGCACATGAATAGCACTGGTAATGATCATATTCATCTTCTTTGTCTCACTGCAGCAAATTTCTGTAAAACTTCAAAGATAACAGTAAGAGAACTGACTTACAACTGACTTAAACCACATGTACAATCTGTCATCAATTTGGGAAGTAAAACATTTTATATACAGGGATATGAAAAATCTAATTCCAGTATTATACAAAAAAAACGGGATCTTAGCACACAAATATAAAGCTTCTATAGTTATGTGTGATACATGATATATACAATTTTAAAAAATTCTAGTTCTACTTGCGAGTGTTTTAGGATTCAGTGTCTGCATCGGTGGCTGCTTCATTCTGCACATCCACCGCGTCCTGCGACTTGCTCTCTTTCTGTTCCTCTTGTGCCGCCGAGTCGTCATTTGTGGGCTCAGTTGGAGGGTCTTCCTCCTGCGTGGGCTCGGGTTGTTCTTGCGTCGTCGTCGTTTGTTCAGTGGGCGGCTCTTCTTTTGCTTCCGGCTCTTGTGTTTCTGGCTCTTGGGTGGGTGTGGCTTCAACTGGTTCTTCCTTTGGTGGTTCACTCACCGGCTCTTCTTCTTTCGTGGGTTCTTCGGCTGCCACTGGCTCTTCTGCAGGTGTTTCTTCTACTTTGGCCGGTTCCTCGCTTGGTGGCGTTTGTTCTTCTTTGGCCGGTTCCTCGCTTGGCGGCGTTTGTTCTTCTTTGGCCGGTTCCTCGCTTGACGGCGTTTGTTCTTTAGCCGGTTCTTCGCTTGATGGAGTCTCTTCTACTTTGGTTGGTTCTTCACTCGTAGCCTCTTCAGCTTTTGTTGGTTCCTCGGTTTTTTGTGGCTCTTCTGCCTTTGCTGCCGGTTCTTCAGTCTTTGTCTGTTCGCTGGCTGCTTCATCTGCCTTTGCTGGCTCCTGTTCTGCCGGCTTCTCCTCTGTTTTTGCAGGCTCACTGCTGGCCTCCTGCGGTGCGTCACCCTCTACAGCTTCTGCAGCTGTCGGCTCCGTTGGAGGAGGTCGAGTAGAAGGGTGCCCGAGGTAGCCCGGCTTCTTTGGAACAATGCCCATTTCAATGATGCTGTAGCCGGTATCGATGATGCTGTCTTTTGCTGGACGTGGCTCGACCCCCAACTCCCCCTTCATCTTCTCGTTGCTGTAATTGAATTTCTTTCCAACCATGGTGTACATTGTCTTTGCCTGTGAGTTGAACAACTTGGCAGCCCACATAGCGGCCTTTGGCAAGTTCTTGACACCAATCTTATAGCCCTGTGGCTTGAACTCATCTGCAAGGATTTGTGCCATTTCCTTGAACGACATCACCTCTGTGTAGGAGATGTATCTATTGCCTGCTGCCTCTGCTTTTTCCAGGGCTGCGATGTGTGCTCTTGCGGTATCGCGAACGTCGGCCAGTGCAAAGTGGATGTCGGGCAACCTGGACATTTTTCCAGCCAGTACTCTCGCCAGAAAGCCGACTGAGCCTTCCTGGTGCGTTTGGTTGAGGAGCGGGCCCTCTAGCAGACCGGGACACACAACGGCCAGTTCAAACTGCTTGTCCTTCTCCAGGCCCTTGACGAATTCCCACGCGGCTCTCTCGGCCCTCACCTTGCTCTTTTCGTACGGGGTCCCCATTTCCTCGCTGGCGAAGTCCGCCTCCGTGAAAACATGGTCTGCGGGCTTACCGGGGTCGCCGGCTAAGCCTACTACGGTTACTGTAGAGCTGGTCACGACGACGCGCCTCACAGTGCCGGCTTCTGCACACGCCTTGAGGACACTTGTTGTGCCTTCCACTGCAGGCTTGATACCGTCGGCAGCTTTGCCCTTCACTATGAGCGGGGAAGCGACGTGGGCGACGTACCGACACCTGCGCACCGCTTCGGCCCATGTCTTGGGTTTGAGGAGGTCTGCTTCGATCAACCGGAGCGGATACTTGGCTTCGGGCACTAGTTCTCGCAGGAATTTCACCTTTTTCTCGTTGTCGAGGTTCCTGATGGTGCCGCGGACACGGAACCGTCCGTCCTGTAGAAGCTGTTGCACGACGTGCGACGCCAGGTAGCCGGACGCTCCCGTAACTAGCACGATAGGTACGTCGTCCTCAGGCTCCTCGGGGTCCGACTGCTGCGGCTTCTCCTCCTCCTGCGGTTTCTCCTTTACCGGCGGCTCAGCTTCCCCGTCTGCCGCACCGCCGGCGGCTTCCCCGTCGCCATCTTTAGGGTCTTCCTTGGGCTTGTCGTCGGCCTTGGGCTTTTCCTCGCCGGCCTCCTGCTGCTCCTCGGGGAGGTCAACCTCGAGCGTGGCTGCTACCTCTTCAGACATAGCCGTATTTTCTGCCGAAAGATAATTGTGACTTAGCGGGCTAGCTATACTATTAGCCGTCGCCGCCCAGCTGCATGGCGCATGCGCGCTGTCCGCGGCACACTGCTTTGTTGTAAAACCGGCCAATTACACAACAGCATGCATGGCCCAAATGTATAATAGTACACTCACTCTGCATAACATTGTTTGGTATCTAATTTCTCTTTACAGTGGTTTCGCTGAGTCACGTGGCTTCACCCTCAGTGGTTTGTGAGGGCTCAGTGGCTGTGGCGGGCTCACTGGTCTCCTCTGTAGCAGTAGTCTCCTGCTGCTCAGTTTGCTGACCGGTGTCCTCTGGTGGACTGGACCGAGTTGAAGGGTGACCAAGATAGCCACTCTTCTTTGGAACAAGACCAAATTCAATGGTGCTGTAGCCCATATCAGCCATCGTTTTCTTCAGAGGTCGAGGTTGGACACCCAGCTCTCCCTTCATCTTGCTGTTGCTCCAGGTTAGGCGGCGTCCAATAGCTGGGTAGATGAGCTTCACGTCTGAGTTGAAGAACTTCAGAAACCAGGCGACTGCTTTGGGCAGCATCATGCTGGGGACCTTGTAGCCCTGTGGCCCAAACTCCTCCCTGAGATGGTCAGCAAACTCCTTGAACGATGTTGTTTCATTGTGGACAAGGAGATAGCGGTTTCCGGCTGCTTCTGGTTTCTCCATTGCTGCAATCTGTGCAGTGGCGACGTCACGAACATCAATCACTGCTGTGTAGAGCTCTGGAATAGCTGGCGTTTCATTGTTGAGGAACACGATGCAGCCCTTGGCGGACGTATCTCCAGACGAAGCACTCAGGAGTGGTCCCATCACGTACCCAGGGCAGCATGTGACCAGCTCAAACTTCTTGTCTTCCTCCAGATTTTTCATGAACTCCCAAGCTGCTTTCTCGGCCTTGTACTTGCTCAATTCGTAAGGCTGACAGGACACTGGATTGGACCAGTCCTCCTCGGTGTAGACGTGGTCTTGTGGCTTGTCTGGATCTCCTGCATTACCGCTGGATACAGCAGCCATTGAACTTGTAATGACGACTCGCTTCATCAACCGCTCCACTCTCCTTGCACGCTGTGAGTACGTTTGTAGTGCCTTCAACGGCAGGCTTTATCAGCTCATCTGGGTGTTTTGGAACAGCGGAAGGGAACGGGGAGGCGACGTGGTAGACGTACGTGCATCTTCTCACGGCTTCGACCCAGTTTTTCGGATTTTGGAGGTCGGCTTCAATCAGTCGCAGCGGATATTTTGGGTCGGGCACCATCTCGGAGCGGCTTGACTTTCTTCTCATTGCTGAGATTCCTCACGGTTCCCCTAACGCGGACGCGCCCCTGCTCCAGGAGCTGCTTGAGAATGTGAGTAGCGACGTAGCCTGACGCTCCAGTCACCAGTGAAATAGGCGCGCCGTCCTCCGGCTCTTCGGGGTCTGATAACTGGGGCTTTTCTTCCTTTCCTTCCTCCTGGGCTGTTGGCTGCTCGGCCGCTGCTTCCGTTTTGCCCTCTGGCGTGGGTTTGTCGCTTGCCGTTTCCTGCGATGTTTGCTGCTGGATGTCCTCAGAGACCTGGTCCCCTTTTGCTGTACTATCCTCCGACATGTCCGTCTCCAAACTGGATGATTGGCTAGAGCTAGCTAGCTGCTGCGCGGCGTATAATTAACCCTCGGCGCGCATGCGCAGCGAGGGTGACGGTATATAGTCGTTCTGTGTGTCTGTTGTCTGTCTGTCTGTTACCACCACCACGCGCAACAAACAGGCCAAATAGCGACACCAACGGGTTAAGCGCTACACTGGCTTCATTTTAAAACTGGCGATTAAGTTATGGCAAGTGAACAAGCCAATATGCAAATTAGCGATAGGTACAGAGACAGAACAGTGAAGGAACTTTGATTTTTATTAGCAGCAATGTTCTGTAAATGAGGCCAAGGAGTTTCTTTGCATTCGAGCAAATTTGCTTGATGTGAGGAGCCCAGTGGAGATTGGAGGAAATATCACCACCAAGATTCTCACCATTCAGAGTCAAGGTAGGGCAGTTAGGATTACTTTTGTGTGTCAGCAACATTTACCATTATGTTGGCACCTGCAGCTCAGATAACTACAGAGCTATGATAGAAGAAGAGAACTGGGCTCCTCACATCAAGCAAATTTGCTCGAATGCAAAGAAACTTGGTGATATGTACTATAGTTCAGATGCTTATGAAGACATAAAAGCAGGTGTGGGACTAATTCTACACACCTGAGGAGCTTCGAGTTCTACTGGAGCGCGAGACCGGGCCACGACACGTCCCGACGCCTAGCGCAACGCGCGCGCAGCAACTCGAGATCCAAGTAGTCTTCTAATATTCTTTCATTATTGTCACTAAGAAGCTCTATCCATAGGTTTAGAGCACTACAACAAAAACAGATCATCCGGCTAGTGATGAAAGAAGTGGTGTGTTGAACCTGGAACACATATATATAATTATAGTAACTTGTGTCACAGGCCTACATAGCTAGCACAATTTGAAGTAACCCAGTGATGAAAGCTATCGGTGCCAGCAATAAAATCATACCTTTTGTAATTCTTCCCCTCATTTTACATTATACGGTAGTACATTTCAAAACCCTTCAAGCATGTGCATGAACAAACTCATTCTCATGGATGCACATCAAGTTAGTGGAAGGGTGCCCGAGATAACAAGACCAAATTCAATGGTGCTGTAGCCCATGTTATAAGCCATCGTTTCCTTCAGAGGTCGAGGTTGGGCATCCAGTTCTCCCTTCATCTCTTTTTATTGCACCAGATTAAGGCCATAAAGACGACGATGAGAGACTCGTTTTGAAGAGTCGCACGTGCATGGTAGTCTTTTGAACGAATTCTCAAAGCAAACTTTTCAAGACAGTCTATTGCCAGATGGGGACGTGCACCTCATAGCTACTCAAGGTGTAGTCGGACAAAACTACGTATAGTTCCAGTCAAAACAGTCATTTTATTACGGTATTAGCGAGAATTACGGTAAAATTACTGGACTTTTCCAGCTTTGCCAATGACATACACAGATGGACAACTCAGGGTATCATCAACATAGTGCATCATGCACATGAACACCTGACACAGAGTCAATGCAAATCTCGCCTACAGATGTCCAACAATTTTGCGGATAATCGCCTATGAGTCCTGAACCAGTAAGGATAGCTTAACTCATTCCTTGACACATGCATGATTGGGCTAATAACAATGCCTACATTTCTCTGCAGATCCAAGAACCAGACTACATGATTTTCTTTCCCCATGTGAATAGCTACTAGTTGCTGCACAATGATAGCCAATACTGAATGCTGCCCTCCATACTAGGTGGTGTATGGACTAACACATCACACGCTACTCAGTAAAGCTTGTAGCTACCAGCCCGGCAATTTAGCTATACTTGAGGGCTAATGAGTGCAAATGAAGGCAGCTATTAATCCTGTAGCAAAACCTAACTATACATTGACCTAACTAATATTCACTAAAAAAAGGATGGTAAAAGTATAAGTAACCAACAGACATGACCGTTCATTTCAATACCACAGTTACTGATGACAACTAAGTAAGAAAACTGAACTAGATCACATACCTACCAACCATCCCGCTTTTACCGGGATTATCCCGGTATTCGAGCTCTGATCCCGGCATCCCGTCATGAAGTACGAAAATCCCGCTTTTTTACACTTGCGCGCGCGCTGGCGCATACCGCGCCGTCACGTGGCCACGCCTTCCGCCGTCGTAGCCGGCCCGCCCTCATGCCGCGCCGCTGACCTGACAATCATGCAAGGACCTAATCCTCGCTATCGGTTTGAAGCCTCGGCAGCATCAGTTACACGATTGTTTAGGCGCTTTACTCGACTTAGACGCTATACTGATGGAGTTCCGTGAGTATCAGTCGTTATCAGATCCAGCATGCAAATCATTAGATGGTTTTTGGGCCTCTGTTGGAGATTTACCCAAGCCTGCTGGTGAGATTGGTGAGAAGCGTTTTAGTCATTTAACTGGATTCTGTAAGACTTTGCTCGTTTTGCCACATTCTACAGCTGATCCCGAGCGCCTCTTCAGTATGATTGGTAAAGTCGACACATATATTGTCTCAGCGAAGTAGTTTGCTTCCATCTACAGTATGTAACATTTTGAGCGCAAAGATAAATCACGATCAGGAGTGCAAATGAACTTGTTACACCAGGATCTAATTGCCCAAGCCAAAAGTGCCACAACACGAAGCCTATGAAACTTAACTTCAATGCTTTAATGTATATAGATGATCATGATCTTATTGGCTGTATCTCCGCAATAGTAATGTAATTACTCTAAATAATTATTTATTAATTAAAAATCAAGCAAAAATGTGAAATATCAAGCAATTTTGTGCCAGATGTCAAGCAAATTATTTGGAGGTGGTTGGTAGGTATGAGATCACTAAATGTTGGAATATGCCCCAAGGATTCTATCTAGTATACAAGTTTACCACTCATATGAGGCACCTTATGGTCAGCAATCACACTCAAACCGAAGTAAGGAAATCCGATGTGGGTTCTAATCATCATGGCTCACAGTCATAGTGCGTGATATATAGATCTAGGCATGTGATCGCTCAACCCTTACCGTAGACACTTGAAATACGCAAAGATATTTGGATACACTGCATGATTGTACAGCCATGGATACATGCATGATTGTATATACAGCTTTTTATCTACATAGTACGAGTGGAAGGGTGACCAAGATAGCCACTCTTCTTTGGAACAAGACCAAATTCAATGGTGCTGTAGCCCATATCAGCCATCGTTTCCTTCAGAGGTCGAGGTTGGACGCCCAGCTCTCCCTTCATCTTGCTGTTGCTCCAGGTTAACTTGTGTCCAATAGCTGGGTAGATAAGCTTCATGTCTGAGCTGAAGAAATGGAAAAACCAGGCGACTGCTTTGGGCAGCATTTTGCTGGGGACCTTGTAGCCCTGTGGCCCAAACTCCTCCCTGAGATGGTCAGCAAACTCCTTGAACGATGTTGTTTCATTGTGGACAAGGAGATAGCGGTTTCCGGCTGCTTCTGGTTTCTCCATTGCTGCAATCTGTGCAGTGGCAACATCACGAACATCAATCACTGCTGTGTAGAGCTCTGGAATAGCTGGCGTTTCATTGTTGAGGAACAAGATGCAGCCCTTGGCGGACGTATCACCAGACGAAGCACTCAGGAGTGGTCCCATCACATACCCAGGGCAGCATGTGACCAGCTCAAACTTCTTGTCTTCCTCCAGATTTTTCATGAACTCCCAAGCTGCTTTCTCGGCCTTGTACTTGCTCAATTCGTAAGGCTGACAGGACACTGGATTGGACCAGTCCTCCTCGGTGTAGACGTGGTCTTGTGGCTTGTCTGGATCTCCTGCATTACCGCTGGATACAGCAGCCATTGAACTTGTAATGACGACTCGCTTCACCGCTCCACTCTCCTTGCACGCTGTGAGTACGTTTGTAGTGCCTTCAACGGCAGGCTTTATCAGCTCATCTGGGTGTTTTGGAACAGCGGAAGGGAACGGGGAGGCGACGTGGTAGACGTACGTGCATCTTCTCACGGCTTCGACCCAGTTTTTCGGATTTTGGAGGTCGGCTTCAATCAGTCGCAGCGGATATTTTGGGTCGGGCATCATATCTCGGAGCGGCTTGACTTTCTTCTCGTTGCTGAGATTCCTCACGGTTCCCCTAACGCGGACGCGCCCCTGCTCCAGGAGCTGCTTGAGAATGTGAGTAGCGACGTAGCCTGACGCTCCAGTCACCAGTGCAATGGGCACGCCATCTTCCGGCTCTTCGGGGTCTGATAACTGGGAGTGGGGCTTTGCCTCTACTGCAGTTGCTGTAGATGAAGACATCTTTCCTTTTGGGAATGGTTCTTGGGTTTGAAGTTGGCTTGAGTTGTTGGTTATTCCAGATTTGCGGCTTATGTTTATATTCGTATATACCCCTGTGCGTGCGCGTGACACCAGTCCTTATCCTGCGCACGCTCCGCGGCGTGCACATGCGCAGGTAATAAATTGCGTAATGAGTTGTCATCGAATACCACTGCACTGCTCACGCCTTTGTTGTTACATGCCAAAGCGGATTGTACATGCTTCTGCTAGTATATCTGTTCGAAACATGCTCTTTGCTGCTGTTCTGCGCATGTCCTTTAGGAAGGATTCTCGCTAGTGGATGCTGCTATATACATGTATTATGGCCTGCACTGCAACATGCACTAAGTGCAAGCTTACTCCAGCTTTCAAAAACCCTCAATGCACATTCACAGCATGGGGTGCATCATTGCACTGGCCACTTGCTTTAGCTCAGTGGTCCGCAATCTCTGCGCGAAGAATGACTTGGCTACCTGTCTTCTGTCAAAGTTGTCTGAAGGGGAACCAACATTGGTAAACAGTCTTTTATGATTGCATGTGAGTTGGCCTAAGATTTTGACAGTTATTATAACTTATTAGTGGCAGTTCTTTGCACCAATATTCATGCTATTATTGATAGCTAACAGTTTGTCACAGTAATCAAGTGGATCTAAAGTGCTGTTCCTTTTAGATAGCTATACACAGTGGAACCTCTGAATAACGGACACATAGCCAGCCATTTGTCCTTTATAGGCAGGTTTTCCTCTCTTTCGAGGTTAAAAATGTAGCTAATAGGAAAGTTAAATGTTTGGGATCTCAAAGTGTGCCCTTTATCGACAGGTATTGTCGAGTGTCCTTAAAGGTTCTACTGTACTAGTTACTCATTCTCCATCAATGAGATGTGAGAAGTCTTGTCCCCCATAACTGGCCAGATCGACTGTTATAAGTGAGGCTATCTAGCTAGCACGGCTGTTCCGCGCGGACATTTAGATCGTTGCGTGCTGGCCGGCCAGAAATTTGTAATCGCGGGACATAGCAACGTATACGTGTAGTTTTTGTGCACTCGTTGCTATGGGGTTTTCTACCAATCCTGACTACTACACACAGCGCTCAATGGTTGCAAAGAACATGAACACTAACTATACATCACCATGGCAGCTTCGCGCAGCCAGCTGCCAAAATTGTTTACAACTGCGCAGGCCGTCTTTGTTGCAACCCGCGCCACGGGTACCCCGGAAAACCCGCTCAGTGCCAGCTTCACACAGTTTTTATCAACGCAAAGCCATATGCAGTAAGTGCACAACAAACCGTACTATACCTCGCACAAGACATCGCTCACTAAACATTTTTTGTCAGCTCGCAGCAAGCCCAGAGAGGTGGGGCCGGGTACCTAGTGCACGCGAGACTTCCGCGAGACTTCCGACACACACCCACTCACCAATGGCCCGCAATAGCCATAAATATCATTTGGAATAGCCATAAATATCATTTGGAACAGCTACAAAAGCACTGCAGAGTTTGTGCTTCCAACTTCAATGCCAAAGTTCAAAAGCCTACAGATATCCATGCTCCTCCACAAAACCAGAGCAGTGGGCAGCAGTGGGCATTGACCAGCACTCTGACACCCAGACATTCACCCACCAACTGTGTGCCTCAGTTGCTAGGAGAAAATGACAAGAATGGCTAATGGTGTAACAACACATCTTAGTGAAGCCTACAACTGGCGTCATCCTGAAGGTTGTGGGTGCACTCCTCCTCCGCTGTCCAGCCTGCAGTGGAATCGTTCAGTTACACGAGCTGAAGAATCACAGTGAGAGTAACTGTGCTTCCTATATATACTGTCCAACCACCATCGGTCCAGCTGGACGACGGAGAACAACAATTGCTTCCAATCCACAGACGCGCGTGGTCCCACCACCCATACCGCTCGTCTAAAAAATGTTTAGAAGGCAAAAGCACGACCAAACTCTTCTACAGGGCCTACACAATACTATTAGTCGCTCTTTTAGGCGTTAAAAACTGTGTGACAGACGCTGCCACTTACTTCTTTCTCCTGTTTCACCCCTGCCGCTCTCGCCAAACCATCCCTTCGACCAGGAAGGAAGACGCACCGTCCGAAAGAGCTACAAACAAGCTCCCTCGTGGCGGAGGTTAAAAGTTCACAATAACAATTAGCTAGCCGTTTCCCCGGGGCAAAAAGAACTGGCCCGTTGCCGCGCACGCGTTGTTAAGGATTACGTAATTTTAAAGTTACGCAGCTAAATGAGCACATGCACGCGCGCGTAGGACGCGGAACAGCCGTGAGCTACTACTAGACTGCACTCCAACAATGCATGCATCGACTGCGCTTTGCGCATTATTTCCACAACTCATGCGCGCTGGATTCAGTTGAACTTTGAACTTGAACTTTGAAGAGCCCAGTGCGGCGCGACAATAGACGAACGCCAACCAGTTTGCGCCCAGTGTCATGATTATGAGGCTGCAGATTTAAAGGGCTTTAGGCCCTCAATTTTTCAGTCATGTCTGACAGTTTCCTTATTCCTGTAGTTGCTTCTCTGCTCTTACTAAGTATTGGAGTAAAGTTAGCGAACGGGAGTGGGATACGAACGTTTGCAACTCTCGCGCGTCTTTCTCTGCAGGAGTCAAATATGCAGTGATGGAGAAGTGTCTTTAGTTGGAGGTAGCGGAGCTCATGAAGGGAGGGTGGAGCTCTGTGCCAATGGAGTGTGGGGAACAGTCTGTGATGACGACTGGAATGATTATGATGCAGTGGTCGTTTGCAGACAACTTGGATATGACACTAAAGGTCGCTAGTAAACATAATATCACTACTGCTAATATTAGTTGATATTTTAGGAGCTAAAGCCTTGAGTAATGCATACTTTGGTGCTGGAAATGGTTCCATCTTGATGGATGATGTGGCGTGCAGTGGAACAGAGGAAAGGCTAACATCTTGCTCTCACATCTCCAAACACAACTGTGGCCACAGAGAAGATGCCTCTGTACACTGCTCTCCAGGCCGCCATGCACGTAGCGCCTGCACAGGGTAGAGATTTCACAACGATTAGAGCAAATTGTAATGTTTTCTTCCACCCTTAGTGTGTGTACACGTTACGGAGCATATGCAAAATCGTCAGTATGTAAGTGTTGCTGTTTCGTTTGTTACATACTATTGGAGTTGGGTAATCCAGTACTCGAGGTAAGGTGCCTACTTTTTAACATGGACTGGTTGGATCTTGCACCTTTTCAGGATTGCTTATCGCTACGAAACAAGGCTACAAATCACTTACACTCGTAGTTTGGAAAATTATTGCTGTCCAGGTTTCTCTGGAGATGGGAGCACTTGCACAGGTAAGTGTTACTAATTTCTAAAGAGTTCTATTCATTGACCATGCTTTTACAAAACTATCAAAGTAGCAGTGTAGAATAAAATAATTAACTATTGAGTTTGAGAACACTTCTGGTGATGCAGCTGTGTGTAATCCGGCGTGTGTCCACGGAGAATGCGTGTGTCCCAACTCCTGCACTTGTCACCCTGGCTGGACTGGACCTACTTGTGATACAAGTAAGGAGCAGCTATTTGAAAGGGATTGCATTATTTTAATGCCGTACAGTACAAGAAATACTATTGTGAGCCATTTCCCCCTAATCCAGCACTCGGTTTTGGCGAAGAATATTGCTAAAGATTCTAATCACACATGATTCCCTAATTTCCTAGTTCACCTTTTAACTATGTCGTGTTGCCACTCTACAACATCAAAACCCCTAATAGGAGTGTGCATGCAAGCGAGTGAGGGGACATTAAAACTGGCTGGAGGTACAACACGGAGCGGACGTGTGGAGTTATGCAAGAGTGGAACATGGGGAACAGTGTGTCACAATGAGTGGGGCAACAACGATGCAACAGTCGTTTGCCACCAGTTAGGATTTTCAAGACACAGTGAGTTAGCTACTACGATAAATTCTCTAATGTATATACAAGGTGGACACAATAAGACGGGGATTCATAGAGCATTTCACTGCGCTCACAGATGCAACTGGAGGGACGTCGGCATCGCCTGGTACTGGGCCCATTCTCATGGCCAATGTGAACTGCAGAGGAACTGAGACAAGACTGACACAGTGCAGCCACACTACTCGACATGACTGCACACATCAGGAGGACGCTAGCGTGACATGTATACCACGTATGTTGCACACCTCTCCTTCGTGTCCCAGCAACTCCCGTTGAATCAAACACTGCAGGTTTGTGTGACGATGGTGATGTTCGTATGGTGGGTGGTCCCGTTGGAGGGAGTGTGAGAAGGGGACGCGTGGAGGTGTGCAACAATGAGACATGGGGGACAGTCTGTGACCACAGCTGGTCACCAGAGGACGCCAGAGTTGTTTGTGCTCAACTCGGACTCCTACAATCTGGTAGAACATCTGGTCTCTACCCGCATTTTACACACTACACGCACAAGGAGCCCTTGCTTAACTCCCGGAAACCACATCACCACTTTTAGAGTAGCTTGTGCAAATCTACAACCCGGAGTTATTTTTATCCACCTGATTAAAATCTTGGAATGAGCGTGTGTATATAGCTGCCATCGAGCCAGAGTGTGAAGACTGGCTACAGCTAGAGAAAAGTAATGATACAAACAAAGGGGAATAATGATACTTTCCTGCATGCTTTTCTGTTATTAGCTTTTAGGTGTTGACACCCCTTGCTTTCCTACACCTAACTATTATTTTGACGATTGATGTACATAATATATTTATCTACTGAACCACGATTAATTCCCTTCCTCACACTTTTCTAGCTTGTTTGTCATAATCTGTCAATCTGCAATGTTTTCATCCACTATTTTTGAATTGTTTTTCTACAGGAGCATCGAGTTACTCTGATGCGCTATTTGGTCAAGGAAGGGGATCCATTCTTCTGAACAATGTTGCCTGCACTGGGACAGAGTCTCGGCTGTTTGACTGCAACTCTGACCCCATCGGTGTGACTGGATCCTGCACACACGAAGATGATGCTGGAGTTGGCTGCCGGACTTGTAAGTACTGACACATTGTGTCTCATCAACTAGGAGATTGCGTTTTGTTTCCCCTGCAAGCAATGTGTACCAACGGAGATCTGTCTCTGGTGGGAGGACTATCAGACAATGAAGGGAGACTGGAGCTGTGCTACAATAACCAGTGGGGAACAGTCTGTGATGATGGGTGGTCACAGGCTTCCACCAACGTGGCCTGCAGGCAGCTGGGAGTCACTGACAGCACACATGGTCTGAGTTTATTTTTCACATTGCAGGGCTGAATAAATATCCTCCAGATAACAAAATATGTTTTTGTTGTAGGCACCGCCCACACTAAAATGTAGCTGAATGTGGTGCATGTATCCCCTCTAAAGCTGTTGTTCTTTGCTATGACCAACATAATGAAAGTGCAAACCCTCGGCGAACTGCGCATGCGCGATATCGCTAATTGGATGGGCTGGGCTATTGGCGTTTACTCGCGGTCTCCCGCTAGTAGCTCGCGGAGAGTCTGACACGGGCTAGCTACGGTAGTAGATAGCATGCGGGAGTCGATACATACCCTTCACTGTGGCTTCATGTGCCTCCAAGGTACACAGAGCAAGCGGATCAGGTCGGCGTTGATCGCGTCTAATACACGCATGCGCACCGCTTATTGATTGGTTGGGCCACGCAACGCTAGCTGTCGCTAGTTTGTCGCTCTCGAACGCAGTCGTTTCAGCAAAATCGCCATTTTATTTTTCTAGCCCATGTATATACCGCTAACGCTGTTGGTATCGCTCATAAGCCGCCTCGTAGCCTGTAGTGCGAGAATAGTCGTAGACAGACAGACACACACACACAGAACGACTACCGTAACCGTCGCTGCGCATGCGCGCCGAGGGTTAACAAACTTACAACGTCTGAGGTACATACCAATACCGTAGTGCCATGGCAACTATCTAAGTAGTATCACATCTTCAGATAATGCAATAGTGCTGCGCTGCACATGGGTGCTATAATAACATATGTCCCTCAAAACGGCTGCATTGTTCTTTGCTTTTGCAGTGACCTCCATCTCTAACATGTTTGGCACCGCTTCATCTGAGGTGCCAATACTGTTGGATGATGTGACGTGCAGTGGGAGAGAGACTAGTCTTCTCAGATGTCCACGCTCATCTGTGGGTTCACATGACTGCAGGCACTCAGAAGACATCAGCCTCAGATGTAAGGAACCCCCTGTAATAATTACCTAGTATCTCTCTCTTTCTCTACTCTCTGTATACTCTAGGTGGGACGTGTAGGGAGGGAGATGTGAGATTGGTGGATGGTGCCAGTGTGAATGAGGGGAGGGTGGAGGTGTGCCTCAGTGGGAGATGGGGGACAGTGTGTGATGATGGCTGGAGTTCATCCAACACACAGGTTGTTTGTGGACAACTTGGGTATCCTTCGACAGGTACAGAATACAGTTATGTGTTAAAGTTCAAAATGGTTAGTTCTTCACTGTATATAGGAGCAACAACACTGGATGGAGCATCCTCCACTCCCACTTTCTCCCTGCCCATTGTGATGGATGAGGTGTCCTGTGGGGGTACAGAGAGCAGGCTATCCCAGTGCCGCTACAGGAATATTACTGGCCTTACTCACTGCTCCCACAGAGAAGACACAAGGATACGCTGCCCTCTGCGTAAGAACCCAAGCAAAGCGGACCTGCGAATGCATGATTTTCTGTGGTACCCGACAACAACACTGTTGTACATACTGTATTTTGTATTATTAACTCGTCAAACCACTGAAACTTCACACTCATGTTTATTCATCAATAAGCATTCATTCTAGCCCAGTGAGAGTTTAATACACCTCTTGCCTCCACAGTTGCTCCAGGCCCCGTTCAGAGACTCTCTACAGCTCGTTCCCACAGTTCCATTACTCTAAACTGGTCACCTCCACTACCTACTGCTCCACCGTCGGCCGCTGTCACACAGTACATCATCACCTGCATAGCAGAGAACCTCCCGTCACACCATCACACGACTTCCAGCACTACCGTCACCTTCACTGGGCTTCAGCCTGAGACCTGGTACTCTTGCTGTGTGACAGCAGACAGTCAGTTTGGGAGGGGTGAACAAATCTGTCGGACATCGCAAACATTGCCACAACGTTAGTTTCAAGGTCTTCTGCTCAGGTGACATTGACTTTCTTACTTCTGTTTCTCTACAGCTAGGTCTACTCCCCCGAGAAATCTTGCTGGAGTTGCCACCTCTCCGCGCTCCATATCCCTATCCTGGGAACGCCGCTGGCACCCAGAGGAGAAATCAGAGAATATCGTGTCAACCTCACTGAAAAGCAGTCACACCAGGAAATCCAGAGAACAACTACTTCCCTAGGACTTCACGTAGTGGGACTACATCCGTTTTACAACTACAGCATTCGAGTGGTTGCATTCACGGAGAGGGAAGGAGACTCTGCAATTATTGAGAATATACAAACCTTCTCAGATGGTAAAACCTTAAATTTAGTTCTGTATACTTTTCTGTGTAACCACACTTTTTGTTTTTGAACCCAACTTATTTTCAAGGAAACACTTGTAGGGAGTTCTTGTTTTTATGGGTGTATGTTTCCACAGTGCCAAGTGCTCCACCAAGTGTACCAGAGTCACGTGATATCACGACCACCTCTTTCAGTCTATTCTGGCGGCCACCAGCCCCTGGGCACAGGAATGGAGTCATCACCCACTACAGACTGAGAGTGGAGAATCTGTGTACTCGTGGCACCACCTACACAACCGTACAACCATCCGCCATTCCGTACACTATTGAGGACCTTACACCGTACACTGTGTACAACTGTTCTGTGAGGGCAGCCACTATCAATGGAACTGGCAGCTCCTCTTCTGAACACTCAGTTCAGACACTTGAAGACGGTTAGGAACAGCAATTCCATACTATAATCTCATACCCTCTCCTCTCTTCCCTACATGTAGCCCCATCAAGGCCCCCCCTCTATGTGGGCCACACCGTGCTGAATCACACAAGTATTACAGTTACCTGGAGTCCTCCAGGATGTAGGTACCAGAATGGAAATATTCGCAGCTACTACCTACAGTTGAATGACACCATTGGCACGAGAATGGTGTCTGGAACTTCACATACTGTTAGCCACCTGCGTCCATATCAAGTCTATGGTTATCGTGTGGCGGCCTTCACTGTGGGTATTGGTCCTTACGGCGAGTGGATGTTTGTGACTATGCCAGAACCACGTAAGCGAAAGCCAGTAGACACAAACACTATGCAGGGGAATATTCAACTCTATGACATTTAATTCATGGTAGAACACGAGTGTGCAGCAACCTTGTTTTGAGTTCAGGCGTTTTGGGAGCTTGTTTGCTTAGCACTACGATAATGCAGGATGCATTTCGTCAGCTTATTCAAGTTTGAATAAATGTGGTTTTATCAGTCATGCTGAGTTTCCTGTAAACATCGAAGATAGCGGACATTGAAAGTGAGGTTTTTAGCCAAAATAACATACCAGGTGGGAAACCACACACAACTGCCGAAACCCTAACATATCCCGCCCCCAATCAAAAATGCATGTACCCACGAAAGGGGTTAAGCCTGGATTTACCTTATGCAGAACAGCAGGAAAGCTGTAACAATGAATTGAAGTCTTTTTCACATAGCAAACTTCCAACAGTGTAACTATAATATTATTGATAAATGATAAAAGATGGCCACTTTATCTTACAGCCGATGTTAATCCTGTGATCGGATTAATGGGGAGTGCTCTAAGTTCGACCTCCATTCAGTTGGAGTGGGAGTCTCCACTGGCTGAGTATGGACACACAGTGACCTACAGAGTCCAGTGTACCGAGACCAACACTGGCCAGACTCTATCACCCTCCACCACATCACACACTGAAACCACCATCAACCACCTCCACCCTCACTACACCTACACCTGCAATATATCAGCCTATGCAATAGACAATAGCCATTTCAGCTATCTAGTCAATGTGACAACAATGGAAGATGGTACGTTGCTCTATTTGGCATACTACCGTGAAAATTAACTCCCTCTCACCTGGTATGTGTACAGCTCCTTCAGTGGCACCTGATGGGCTCACTGCTCAATACGTTGGCTCCAGAAATGTGACTTTGACATGGAATAAACTGGCAGCAGAGCATCAGAATGGAGATATATCCTACTACACCATCTACCTCCTTCCAACGGAGTCCTTCTCCTGGCTGAGACCCAGCAAACACATTGCTCTGTTTCCTGACCACTTGTACACCATTCTCAACCTCCACCCACACTCCAACTATAACATCAGTGTGGCAGCTTTCACCATAGCAGCTGGTCCCAACTCCACTGCCATTTCAATACAAACCAGACAAGAACGTAAGTATGACTCTATAGTTCATGAAGTGTTGTGGATTCGAATCCCACCCAGGGCAACTCTTTCTCCAAGTTGTCCTGGGTGTAGCTGTGTCGTTTGCTTTGCCTTTCCTTTGAGATTGACGTCTAAAAAACTTGCTTATACGAATAATGCTGTTTTCTCTCTGCCTCCACAGCTCCCTTGGGTTTCCCCCTAGATTTTTCTGCTGATGCACTCTCACCAACATCTCTGTCCCTCTCCTGGTGGCCACCACCAGCTCAGTCGCGACACGGAGAGATAAGATCCTACACCATCAGACTGGAGACTGTACCCACCAGGGAAGTATCGCTCCTGACCACTTCAGACCTGCAGATTACAATAGAGTCTCTGCATCCATTCTATGAGTACACCGTCAGTGTAGCAGCTACCACAGTGGGACTAGGACCGTACACATCTGAGATCAGCGTCACTATGCCAGAGTCACGTAATACCCTTCTTACAGGCATATCTGTACTAGAATAATCCTTCATACTATTCCCAATACAGCTCCTAGTACATCACCAAACGTGACAGTAGTGGATGTTTCGTCTGACACCATTGAGCTACAACTGACTCCTCTAACTGAGGAGGATCGGAATGGCATAATTACTGGTTACGTCATAGAATATTTCAGCAGCAGAGGCAGCGACTCGATACCAACAGACTCATCAACAGAGTTCAGTCTCACAGTGGCTTCATACACAAGATATGAACTGAGAGTTGCTGCTGTGAACGCAGCTGGCCAGGGCCCTTTCAGTCATCCAGTGACAACAACGACTTTGGAAGATGGTAAACTTCAAAATCAAAGATGTATGTGTTTATTAAGTAACTCCTACTTTCAGCTCCTTCCCGTCCACCAACATCAGTGAGACTCGTGGACATAACCTCCACCTCAGTTCAGCTGCAGTGGGAACCACCTCCACCACTCTACCACAATGGCCTGATACGATCATACACTGTACTGTGTACTGAACTGGAGACAAACAGAACCATTACAGAAACAAGTGCCGTAACAGAGATGACACTCAGAGACCTTCATCCCTACTACACCTACAACTGTAGTGTAGCAGCAGTGACAGTGCGTGAAGGGCCATTCAGTGACTCCATCATCACTAAGACACTAGAAGATGGTATGCTTATACTATAACTGATTGTTACTACTTTCAATCTTGTTGTCCCTCTTTGCAGCCCCCTCTCATCACCCCTATAATCTCGTGGCTAATGAGAGCACTCCCACTAGTTTGACCCTAACTTGGACTCAACCCGATCCATCGACATGGAACGGAGTCATCAGATACTACATCATACAAGTCACTCAGCTCTCTCTGGCGTACAATGTTTCCTACCCCACCACTTCTCTATCTGTCACTGGTCTCCATCCTCACACCACCTATGAGATACAGGTGTCTGCAGTCACCGTTGCAGCTGGCCCCTACTACACTGCTGAGCTGATGACAGAAGAAGACAGTACGACTCAATCTCTCCCTCAAACTCATACACAAAGACGCACACACACACACACACACACTGTGTCTTATAACTGTTGATTCCCACTACAGTTCCTGCAGCACCACCAGGAAGTCTGTCTGCTCAATCAGTTTCCTCCACGGACCTCTCCATAACATGGAGATCACCACCAGAAAACAAACGGAATGGAAGGATCAGATACTACACAGTATCTGTGTATGAAGCTAATACTGGGGAGAATCGCTGGTACAACACTTCAGACAGTACAGCTCACTGGACTGTGACAGACCTACACTCATACTACATTTACCACATTCAAGTTGCTGCAGTAACAGTTGGTCTGGGTCCCTTTACTAAACCAGTGGAAATCCAAATGCCTGAAGAAGGTAGCTACATAGAAGATCAAGCAGGGATTATAGCTATCTCACACTTCTCATTTTCCCTTCCCCAGCTCCATCTAGTCCTCCAACAAGCCTGAGTGTCACAGAGGTAGGTTCCAGCTATGTCTTGCTGCAGTGGGCCCCACCACCTGACTCATCACACAACGGCATCATTCGCCACTACCTCGTCCATCTTGTGATGGAGGGAAACAGCTCAGAGCCAGCTGCCAGGAATCTCACCACCGGTTCCTCCCGACCTTCCACTAACATTGGCTATCTCCAGCCCTCTACACTGTACACTTGCTCAGTCGCTGCCATGACAGTTTCAGCCGGCCCGTTTTCCACCAACATTTCCTTTACCACTGAACCGCACAGTGAGATAAAACTCTAGTATGTACTATGTTAGGTATATTGGCTTACACTTCTCCAGTACCAGGGAGTGTGCAGTCTCTGGCAGCCGTGGCTCTGTCTTCTCGGTCAATGAACGTGTCCTGGCAGCCACCAGTGGACGGAGAGGGAGCTGGACAAGCCACAGACTATCTGCTCAATGTCACACTCCCAGGAGCACCGGGAGAAGACAGATATTCAGCTAGGACTGATTCAACGTCGGTTGTGGTGGGATCCCTTCATCCAGACTACCTCTACCAGTGCTCAGTGGTGCCCAGAACCAGTGCAGGGACAGGCCCTCTCACACAAACACTGCTACAACTTCCACCAGATGGTAAGAATCCTCTCTCTCTCTCTCTATCGTGAAATATCACTGTGTGTACTTATTATGCAGTGCCTACCAGTTCCCCCCTGGATGTCAATGCTCTTGCATCTGATCCCACAACTCTCCACCTCTATTGGAGCCCACCTCCACCGGAGCATCAGAATGGTGACATCATCCAGTATGGGATCAATATCACTCACATTGAGCAGGGGACGACCCATCAGTACAACACCAGTGGTCCAAAGACATCAGTTGTCATCCCCGACCTCCATCCTTACTATACCTACCAGTACATGGTGACTGCCTTCACAGTGGTAGGGAATGGGCCTTATTCCCCTCCTGAAATGAGACAAATGCCAGCAGCAGGTATAGTAATAGTATCAGTTAAAACTCTTGTATTTCATGTAAGTTCTCCTTTAGCCCCTTCCAGTGCTCCACTCAACCTATCTCTCCATGAGATTGGCTCCAGCTATGCCCTCTTGCGATGGACACCTCCACCTGAGTCTGATAGAAACGGAGTCATAGAGCACTACCAGGTCCAGTTGAGCAGCTCCCTGGGCTTCAACTTCAGTTACAACACAGCCGGATCACAGACACACCTACTGCTCAACTCCCTGCAGCCCAGTACCCAGTACACCTGCAGCGTGGCTGCTGTGACAGTCGCAACTGGTCCAGCATCCACAACCATACACTTCACTACTGATACATCTGGTACGCCATTACTGAGGTCTATAACAGGGTTTTGTTAGGTTCATGATGTACATAGTTCAAGGGACGGTGGAGTCTCTCGTGGCCAGACCTCTCTCACCTCGATCAGTCAACATCTCCTGGCTAACTCCTCATAATGGAGTGACTTTCCTGGATTTCCTTGTCACCATCACTCCTCTAAATAGACACAGGCAGCCGCGATACGACACAACATCCTCCGCTAGCATTGTCATCAGTCAACTAAAGCCTGGGGCCTTTTACCTGTGCATGGTGGCAGCCAGGACTCAGTCAGGTCTGCTGCCGTCTGTGAGCACTGTTCTCATGGAGCTCCCACCTGATGGTAATAGAGTATTAACCCATCAAGTTCACATTTTTCATATATATTCCTTGTATCCAGTTCCAGAAGGCTTTCCACTTAATGTACTTGCTGTGCCAGTGGACTCGAGAACTTTGCACCTTGTGTGGAGTCCGCCACCAGTGGAAGAGCAGAATGGGGAGATTATTAAGTATGGAGTCAACCTCACAGAGGTGGAGACTGGCCGAGTCACACAGCACCTCACTAGTGATTCAGTGACATCCATCACTATACCTCTCCTTCATCCCTTCTACCGCTATCGCTATGCCGTGACTGCATTCACTTCTGTGGGAAATGGGCCATACTCACTCACCTACACAAAGAGGATGCCACAGGATGGTGAGCATAATAATATGAACATAAATAAAACCGGACTAAACTAATTCTTTTCCTACACAGCTCCAGATGGGTCACCACTCAATGTCACAGTAGCCAATGAGAGTCCCAGAGTTGTGGTCCTGCACTGGATCCCCCCTCCCTCACAAACCCATAATGGAGACATCACTGGCTACGTCATCAGAACATTTGACGCAGAGCAAGGGACAAAAGTCGGGGACAGAGAAACCGATAATACTACCAGTTACACTCTAACTGGCCTAAACACAGCACACCCATATGAATTTTCAGTGGCTGCAAGAACAGTTGTCGCTTGGGGACCGTTTTCAAAACCATCTTACATATTCACGCTTCATGATGGTATGTTGGTGCTTGCTTCAGCTGGTGGTTAACTTTCATCTCTTCCACCATAGTTCCCTCGGCCCCAGTCGGAGTTTCAGCTCAGAGAATCTCAGCTACTCAGATATTAGTTTCTTGGCCACTGGTGCCAAAGGAGAAGGTCACACTCCCCATCCTCTACTACACTGTCAAGTACTATGGCCTGGAGAGCCGTGTGCGGCTACGCAGAGATGAGAAGGATGTTCGACTGCTCAACACCCAGACTAACCTCACAATAGGTGACCTGGACCCTGGAATCACCTATAGTGTGGCTGTGTCGGCCACCAGTGCCTCTGGACCTGGAGAGTTCTGTGAGGAGATCACTGTTGGATGTAAGTATGGAACAATATGCTAGCCTCCACAACATTATGATGTGTAATGCATACATTCTCCACAGTGTCAGAAAACAGTCTCTTTCAACTGTTTCTAAGTGGAGCAATTAACTGCCAGGAATGGGTGGTAAGTCTTGCTCAACATCACTGCATACAATGGATTCATCTTCCCTGTGTCGGCGATGCAGCTCCATCACGCTGGTGCCAAACTGGAATCAATGAGAGCCACTCTGTCAGTGGAGTTGGAGGAGAGCTGCCAGTGCCAGTTCTCTGCCAGTTACCTTCTGTTGAACCAGCCACACTGCCTCTCTGCACACACTGACTGGCTCATTCTGTGGGGCAGGATCATAGGAACCAACCACACCGCCAGTCACGTCATTCGCGACCACCTCCAGGACTGGAGTGACATGGAATCAAAGCTAGTCGTGGAGGGAGTTCACCTGGCGAGTCTGGAGTTCTGTACTGTGTCCCTTGTAGATGGAGAGCCACCGTTTTGTGAGGCTCCCACAGTCGTGGCAACTCTGCACCCAGAGCCCGTGGACGGCAGGTCCGCTGATGAGTCATCCTCTGTTGTGACGCATTCCATCGTGGGTGTTGTTACGCTGATGTTTGTGATAATACTGGCTGTCCTAGCGTGCTTCGGAACCGTGTCCTGCTACAGGAAGAAGAAAGTAAAAGACAGACAGTCAAGGCAAGAAATAAGTAACGTTTACAGCAGAAGTTAATGACTATAGTGAAAGAGCGCTACATGTATAGATTTTAGGGGTATACCAAAAGTCACATGCATAAGCATGTGGGAAGAAAATTTGCTCCACTCTATTTGCCACAGATTCCATGTAGATCATCCCCTGGAGGAGAATGATGCTGCAGGAGGAACCACATGCGGGAGGGAGAGAGACGACAATGACGGCATCTATTACAACATAGCGGACAGTATCTATGAGACTGTACTCGACAACGGGCCACCAGGTGTCACCCTCCCACCTCAACCTCCTCCTCCTCCTCTCCCTCTTCCCTTGATTGGCTCTCGTGTCAACCCGCCAGCAGCCGATGAGGAGGACTCTGCTTCCAGCTCTGATGACGAATCAGAGGAATCTTCTGACACACAATCCTCTACTGGTGTTGGACTCCAGGTCTACCCTCGGCTCTTTGCAACAGGGACTGACATTACTAACGCCATGTATATGGATTCAGCTAGTGCCGCTCCCACTCAGCAGATACCCAGCCCACCTACTGATCCTGTGCTGGGTGACGCTACTGATGAGAATGAAACAGGTTCTTCTTACCATCACCTCATACACGGGTCACAGTCCAAAGCACCTACTGATCCCGTGCCGTACGAGGCTATTGATCCCTACCAACACCTCACACATGGGCCACCGTCCAGGCCAACTACATACCAGCCACTATCACCACAGCAGACAATTGACAGGGAACAGGACTCTGGGCTCTGTCAGTCGTCAGCCGAGAACGTTGGTCACGATCAGCCGGGACCCGTTGCTGAGAGCTGGTTACAGGCTACTCGGGATCCGCGACAGAGAAAACGTCTACGAACTACCACCACAACAGCATCAGCAACCAACTGGGGATAATTCGACCACTCAGTTGTAGTCCACATGCTGTGTGGAAGTTGAAAAAAAACGCTACTACTTAAAGGACTCCAATTTGGTAAAACAGCTATGTAGTAACTATAATTGGACCTGAAGAGTGTGATTGTACTGTGAATTGTACTATAAGTTAAAGTGGTATAGAACTAAACTTTTTTTAATTTTCCTTTGCGCCATCCATTCCCTCGGCCCTCGGCGCGCATGCGCATCGAGGGTACTGTAGTTGTGTGTCTGTCTGTTTGTCATATCTCACTCCTCGAACGTCTGTTCGTCCCAGAAACGATACCATCTACCCAACGGGCGACGAAGGTCAGAAAATAAAGGCGGTTTTCTCTGAAAACGCTCCGTTGCTAAGCTAGAGCGGGAAAAAGCCAATATGCAAAAATACACAACGGCTTACTACGGCATGACCGATCCGCGTGCTCTGCGTATATACCTCGGAGGCACCAGAAGATGCAACGCAGGGCGTGTATCGCCTCTCGCATGCTATCTAGTAGTGTAGTTAGCCCGCGTCAGACCTGCGCGAGCTAGCTGGCAAGAGACCACGAGTAACAGCTAAAACTAAACCCAGCCCATCAATTAGTGGTATATACTGCGCATGCGTTTACTTACGCGCGCGCGTCACAGTGCGCCGCCGAGGGTTTGCACTTCACTTTTTTTTCATTGCACTTGTTTTTACCTAGTGCACAACGCTTTCACTTTTAATATCAGCAGTTCCTAACCTGTATATATCCAAAGCAATTTCTCTGTTTAGCCAACAGGGACACCTCACTAGTTTCAAACAGAGTGCAGAATTTTTGTTGTAACGTCAGATTGCAGTGTAGACATGTCGGTCTCTCTGACCAGCTGGAGCATTGTCATCCTAGCAGTGTCCATCAGTCTGGTGCTAGCAGATAGCAATACCACTTGTCCAGCTTGGTTCTATTTCAGCAACTCTACCAACCAATGTGAATGCACAGGGATAGAGGACATGATTAGTTGCAACCAAGAGCGGACGATAGCAATGATTGCAAATGGAGTTTGCGTAACTTCCATTACGGACAGCTTCGACGTTCTAGCTGGAGAGTGTCAACTGAGGTACATCGAAAACAACACTGATAGGATGTGGTCTGAGTTGCTCAGTAGTCCCGAGGTCCTGAATGAGGCCATGTGTGGACCTTACAACAGAGAAGGTGTGCTGTGTGGGAGGTGTATTGAAGGCTACGGTCTTCCAGCGTATTCATCAGATTTGAAATGTGTCAATTGTTCCGTGTTTTCCCACAAGCTAAGTATCTGTTTATACCTGCTCATTGAATTTGTTCCAATCACATTGTTCTTTGTGTGTGTTATCATATTTCGTTTCAACATCACCGCTGGTCCTTTGCTGGGATATTTTCTGTTTTGTCTGTTTTACTATCAAGAAACCATTGGTTTAAACAGACATGTTTTTGACTACATTAAAGCAAATTCATCATATCAAATAAAATGTATATTCCTTGTTTCTCAAACAATTTCTGAGCTGTGGAATTTGCTCTTTTTTAAGTCACTATTTCCACCATTTTGTGTTAGTGAGCATTTGAGTAGTATTCATCTTCGTATTCTCACTTTAGTTCCTGCCACATATTCAGTTCTTTTTTTCTTAACATTGTGTGTTCTTGTCGAACTACATGCAAGAAACAAAGTTATCCATTTGATTGGGAAACCCTTTATTTTCATCAGGCAAAGGCTCAACTTGAATATTGATAGTGATTCTATTATACATGCTTTTGCCACCTGTATATTTTTGTCAACCACCACAATTGCATGCAATGTGACATCACTAACAGTCATGACAACCATCTACTCCAATGCTAACGAGATGTTCTGAATGTGTATTACATTGATCCTACTATATTGTATTTCAGTCAAATTGCTCTGTCCCTGATGGCAGTCACAGTTCCATGCGTGCTTCTGGTGTTAGTCCCAGCTCTGTTGCTCATTATCTACCCAACAAGGATATATCGACGACTCTCAAGATTCATCAGTCCCAGGAAGCGACTTGCCATCACAGCATTTGCTGAGGCTCTCCACGGCTGCTTCAAGGATGGTCTGAATGGCACTCGAGACTACAGAGCTCTTGCTGGATTGATTATATTGATTCTACCTTTCTCCGCTACTGACACAGGATACATTGCTGGTTACAGCTGGCTTTGTTTTCGGGCTTTGTGCTGCTACTTTTCTCATTAATATTATCTTACGTAAGGCCCTGTAAACTAACACTGGCAAACCTTTCCCTTAGTTACCACTCCATGATAGCAGGAGTTCTCAAATTTGGACTTCACCTCTGGAAAAAAGATCTCTCCACTGGAACAGCAGGACTGGAGCTAACATTCATCATCATTCCCCTTATCTCTCACGTTCTGGCTATTTTCTGGATGGGTTACCTTGTTTTTCAGTACACGAGGATGCGTTTGTGGGCTTAATTTCAGTTTACGACCAGTCAAGATCGTGTGGACTGAGTTTTCAAGGGCTGCAAAACTGCGTTTTTGGAGAGTAAACAGCTACCAAGCACTGCTTGAGTCGGCAAGAATGTAACTCTCTGACTCTTACAACATAAGGTTGTGCACCTGTATGACAGTGTTTTCCTATTGTGTATTGAACAAACTTTCAATGTTGATGTTCTTTAACTCTAAAAGCTATGGGACTGGGTTTAAAAAAATGCAAAACATAATCTACGTTGCTCGAGTGTTATTTAACTGTCCAAGTTAAATATACTGTATAGTTGAGGAGAGAAACATGCCTCCAACTATAAAGTACAACAGGCTCAACCATACTACATTAGGTGCAAGAGTTTGATTCTCTTTTCCATCCAAAATCGTCATAATACACTTTCCCTTATATACACATCTCAGTACTCTGCATGTTACTTGGTAAGTATAATGCAAAAGCTACATGTAAATGTTCTGGAGTAGCTACAGTCTGTTACGACACAAGTTTCAGAAGACCTGCAGAAAATAATAAATGATACCCATATCCATCCGGTTGATAAGTTTGACTTACACTCTCATGTCCAGTTTGTCCATCATCTTCAGGAGTTTTGAGTGAGCCGTTGAGTGGCTCTGTCATCGACTGCAGAATGAGTGATGAATGTTTCTGGGGACAAGTTTAGGCAATTGGCATTACCATGAAATGAAGAAACAAATCGAGTTGGAAGTTGGAGGCAAGGGGTGGTTGTGTACGTAACATGGCTCCACTTGGTTCTATTTGGGCAGGCTCCACTAACAGTTAATGCTGTCATTATCCTTTTGGCTGGTTGCAGATTGAGCGATATTAAATCCAGATGCTAGTTACCATGCCCATCCCTATAATAATATACTAAGTAGTACTATACTGGACTGACTGATTAAGAGCACTACTGACACGTAGCTAGGAAAAAAGTCATGGGTTGGTGAATTTAAGGGGGTGTAACAGTCATACTACATACTACTCACTGCTTCAATCCGTTTGACGAGGTTAAGGATGTAAGGTGTAACCGTCTTTCTTGGTGGTGGGGGTCTTGAGCTCCACGACTGCAGAGCATAAACAGTGTACGTATTGTGACACTACTAATCAGTGTCAGCAAAATGAAGGGGCTTACCCTGGCCAGGCCCATTGGTGTAGTCGGTGGGGGTATCAGAGTGGGGGATGTAGAGTGAGGTCCTAGAGAACCAGGAGCTGAGAGAGACGGTGATGAGAGGTAGGAGAAGCCCCTCCTGGTAGGCTGGGAGTTGGGGGGTGGCCAGACAGGGGAGGATGGGTCTTGGGAGACAGTAGAGTCACCTTCATCACTCTCAACGTCACTGTCTTCACAGTCAGCCTCATCACTGCTGCCACTTTCAGTGTAATCATCAGGGTCCTCCCTCTCCCTGTCATCTTCTTCATTATCGTCATCATCACTTTCCTCCTCTGTCTTGGCATCACAGTCTCCCCGACATTCATCCTTTATGTCACAGACCTGGCCTTTATAACCAAGAGTACTTTCCCTCTCTTGTGTCTCAATACCGTCAGTTATCTCTTTATCTTCACCCACAGAAGAAGAACTGAAGTCAATGTGGTGATCTTTACCATCACCTTTCATTTCTTCACCCTCAGCATCATCATTTATGTCGCTTATCTCCAGTGTGCCACACTCCTTCTCTTCATGTCGTTCTACCTCTCTCATCTCATCATTCTCCCCGCTCTCTTCCTCGTCCTCGGTCTCAGAGGAGGAGCTGAGGTGAGTGTGGGAGGAGGTGAGTCTGGCAGAGGTCCAGACTGATTCCCCCGAGACCAGGCCACAGTCACCAGGCACGACTGGGGCTGGGGAATTGGGTCCACGAGTAAAGATAAAGATGGAGGAGAGAACGTTTCTGAGCAGAGGAGATGGCCAGGGTTGAGAGGGAGGCATGCCAGGGAGGGAATGAGACTGAGGTGTTGGTCGCTGCTCCGCCACCTTGCGTACCAGAGGAGCTGATCGAACCTGGAGCAGTGGGTCCAACGAGCGCGAGCTGGAGGAAAGCGAGGACACAGTGCAAGGAGATGGGAAGGGAGGTGGCGGGAGGGGATCTAGGAGCTCGGAAAAGCTGTACTCCAGTTCAGGAGAGACAGAGTCATACAGTGGACTGTGTGTGGCCTCTCGGTTGAATCCAGTTCCAACAGAAGGTAAGGTAGCAGTCAGAGACACAGAAGATGGGGAGGAGAGAGAGTCAGGAAGTGAGGAGACAGTAACAGTGGCAGTAGTGTTGCTGGATGTGAGAGGAGTGGTCGCATCAGGATGATGGGCAGAGAGATTTGCAGAGTTTGTTGGAGGGACAGATGAGGTCACAACTGAAGAAATGTTAGAAGTTGTGGAAGTAGCAGAGTCAGTGAGTTGTGCAGAGGCTGAGTTAGTGGGAGGGGTAATAGTGGCTGAGGTAGTAAAATGAGGGTCAGAAGTGAATGGCTGAATGACAGCATCGGATGTGATGGGTTCTGCAGCAAAGGCAGGGAAATAGTAGATAGATGTGGGAGATGGAACGAAGGGAAAAGAGGGAGAGAACAAGCCAGTAAAAGACGGAAATGTAGTGGCGTCAGTGGTTGAAGTGATCAGAAAAGAAACAGTATCCATGAGAGAACAGGTAGTGGAGTCATTGGTCGGAAGGGGAGAAGAGTGGTGTGGGAGGAGAATGAGGGAGCAGGGAGAGAATCGAAGTCTGATACCAGACAGTGAGAAACGATGACCATTCATCGCAGAGTAAACAAGTTTCATAGCAAAGGTCGTGTAGCAGAACATGACAGTAGCCATGGAGCTCTCGCAACCAGTAACTGGGGGAGTTGGTGGGAAGGGGAGCTTCGCAGTAGGCAAGAGTGCAAAAGGAGCTCTTCCAGTTGGGAATAAGTCAGGACTAGGTGAGTTGGAGCAGTGAGAGATAAGGGCACCAGTTGAACCAAGTGTGGGAGATTCCAGCTCCAGTGTAGCTCCAGAGACACTCTTCTCATCACACATCTGTGGCTCCTATCACAAACAAGACACATCAAGTATCTACAGTAGTGTGTGTGTGTGTGTGTGTCATGCCTGGTCAGTGGAAGGAGCACAAGGTACATAGTATAATGGTGTCTGTCATACTTACAACATCTCCCAGCTTCTCATAGTAAAGCATCACCTCCTCTTGAAACTGTATGATGGAAATATATAGTTGAAGTTTAGAGCCATAATTATAGTATGTTGATTCGCATACCACATTGGGGGTTGGTTCTGTCACAGGAGCAACCTCCTCCTCAATCTTGAGGTATTCCTCATACATTCTCTCATATTCCTCCATAATCTCAACGTTCTGTGCAGTATTATACAATGAAACCAATTCACAAATCCATCTCCAAACCTTTAATAAAGGTGTCAATGATTTTGCAGTTTCTGTAGGAGCATGAGTGCAAGAAGACACAAGCCAACTATCCATAATAATTTGACTATCATTAGGGTATGGAATAGTAATGCACTTAATCGTCTTGCACCTATTCCTATCAAGCTTCACCAATCCATCTTTCGCCTCTATTTCACTGGTCCCATCCCTCAACATAAGGGTGCCAATGATTTTGCATTTTTTTGTAGGTACATCGGTGGAAGAAATGACAAGCCAACCATGCCTAATAGTTTGACGATCATTGGAGTATGGAATAGAAATGTATTATGACTTTCTGCAATAATCGTTTTCCCCCTCTGCTGTTTCTTTGCCAATCCACCCCCAACCCTGTTAACAGGGTGTCAACAATTTTGAATGTTTTGTAGGAGCATGAGTTGTCTTCCTGCATCTACCCCTATGTTAGCTTCACTAATCCTTTCTCCTCTATTTTGCTGTCGCTACGCCAATCCACCCTCAACCCCCCAATAAGGGTGTCAACGATTTTGCATTTTTTGTGGGAACATTAGTCAAGAAGAGACAAGCAAACCATCTGTATTACTCCGACTATCTTTAGAGTACGGAATAGTAATGTACTCTATCTTCCTGCACCTATTCCTATCTAATCCCTCTTTCGCCTCTATTTTGCTCTCACTGTGCCAATCCACCCTCAACCCTCCACAAAGGGTGTCAACGATTATGCATTTTTGTAGGAACATCAGTGCAAGAAGGGAAGTACTTGTCTTATTTTTCCAGACTCACCTCACAGCCAAAGTATTTCACTGTGCATTTGTACAGAAGGAAGATGTAGCCAGAGGTAGTGCAGTCCTTGACTATCACTCCAAACAGCTTTCTGCCTTCAGGAGCATACACCATCTCTATCTCTCCCATGAGAAACGAGGTCAGGCAAGACTGCACCCGAGAAATATGAAGCATGTGATGAAGAAAATCCCATACCCCATAGACACTGGTATTAGAAGTGACCGTCACATTGCGCGCTTACAGATCATGCCTGCCATGATCGAACCTACTTGGTACATGACGTAAACCTGGAAGGCATATCCAGTCTGCATGCTGTGGTGCTACTGCTAGCAAATAAATCATACCCTATAATGCATCGTTGCTAGGGTAACATGAACTTTTAAATTACTTAACTATAATCTGACTCAAATAGATAGACCCACCCTAGAGATGGTATCGTTGACCAATATCTCCCCAGGAGTGATGATGAAGGATACACGTCTTTTATTCTTCCTCGGCGCTCTCTTGATTATGCTCTTGGCAACTTCTGAGGCCTTCTCGGGAGGTAGTGTAGGGGACACTATCAGAGCACACCCAATGTACTGTGTGGAGGAAATATGTATATAGCCTACCATTACAGCATCATCTGTTGTGATAATGTTCAATCATACAGATTGTAAACCTTCTGGTCTCTTTCTGAGTGCAAATACTGCGCAGAGTGTAAAGTTGTTTCTCTCATGCGCTGCTGACCAACGATCAGTTTGTCTACCTTTGTCCTCCAGTGTGAATGCGCTGTACTGTCTCAATTTCTACGACATGGCAACTGTCTTTCTTAGCTTTCGTAGAGAAACTATGTTTAACTCCTATATGACTGAGCAAACAGACAGTCCGCTCGCAGACACTTGAAATGGCAAAGTCGTTCGAGCATCGCTTTGTTCTGTATAGCAATCGGGCGGGCATAAGCAATGCAGACCTCGCTAGTGCGATTATTCACTACATACGACGTTAGAGTCACCACAAACACCTGTAACTTACTTATAATCTACTTGCTACCGACCTTCACATGAAAAGGCTTAGATGTGACGCTCTTTTCTCGCTGTCCAACGATCATTTCGTAACCCGTTCTCCTTCTGGGGTGCATGTGCGCCGTACTGTCTCGACGAAACAGCTTCTTCAACCTTCTTAGAGGCACCATTTTTTCACTCGTATCTGACTGAGCCAACACACCGTCCGTCGGTGGCGTTCGCGTCCGGGAGCGTCGCCGATTTCTAGAGCATGCGCAATAAATCCCGGTGCGTCTATAGCTACGACGCTAACAACTACACTTGACGAAAACTGCTGTAATTACCTACCCAAAGATATTTTGTCACTGGCAGTTACATAAACCAAGGCTTTGATGTATCGCGCAGGGTCACTGGCAAACGACCAGTTTGTCACCCGTTCTTTTTCTCGGGGATGCAGTGTACACCGGTACTATCTGGACGAAACGGTGTATTTTCCTTCTTAGAGTCAGAGACACCATTTTCACTCGTATCTGACTGAGCTAACACACCGTCCGCCCGCGACTGTGCGGGAGCGTCGCCTGTTTCTTGAGCATGCGCAAAAAAAACAACATGAGTCTCTACGACGCTCCTTACTTAGTTATATAGCTACCCAGTTAGGAAACTGTGATTGTGTACAAAACGCTATAGAGTGCTTTTTTGCACACACACCAACTGTTCTATCCATAATATTAACAAGATAATTTTGTACTGGCAGTGATGTATACACAAACCTTCACATGGAAAGGTCTTGATTTTCCCCGAATATTTCTCATTCGCCTGCAAAAGTCGTTCCCCGTTTTCCTTGGGTGCATGTGCACCGTACTGTCTCGACGAAATAGCTTTCTCAACCTTTTTACAGACGACATTGTCATTCGCATCCGACTGAAGCGTCTGCCC